TTCAAGGTTAGGTGACGTCATTCAAGGTCGTGTGACGTCTCAAGGTCAAAAGGGGTGGGGGGAGGCGTTCAGTCGGCATTAGCACCCTACTACGGTCAATAGTCATCTCTCGAATAGTCAAGTCATCGCCCGAAGACGATTTTGGATACTAACAATCGAAACGTCGTGAAGTAACTTGGTTTGAAATCTTTTGATTTTATTTCATTTGGTTATTTTTATTTTATTGTAATTTCATTTCACGTTTCAGTGCTCAATATAATCGATATTTTCATCTATTCATTTTAATTTTATTTGTACTTTCGGAGATTTCAAATTAATTAGACAATGGAAGTTCGAACTAGTAAAATTCATCATGAAACATTGTCAACCACTTCCAAACTAACGATGAATACATGGATTATGAATGTTTTGTAATGGGTTATTTTTTTTGAAATTTCTAAAGTAATTGAAGATTTCAAAAAATTAAAGAACAAAAATATCTAATTGAACGACTGGTTGATTTATTTTGAAACTCTCAAACAGGCTTCAAAAACCTACTATTTTTTCCTCTCCTACTTACTGGACGTTTTATTTGTTGAGACTTCTGTCACTACCAATATTTTTCATGACTCACAGGAAATTGACTTCTGGTCATGGACTTTGGAAGAACCTATAGTTCACATAAATACGATAAATATGAAGGGGAGACAAATCATGCTGGTCGTGACTGCCAACACGAGAGCAAATCTCTATGAATTTGACATCAAAACTGAAAACAAGTCATATTGGTGAGTATTTTTCATAATAAAATTCATGAATATACTTCTTATTATGGGAAGTCAAATAAAAAAAAATGTACACTGGGAAATATAATTAAAAAAAAGAGAATTGTTTCGGTGATTCTTAAAAAAAGTTCTATTTTACTGCAATATTTCCAGACCTAGCATGTGATTTTTCAAGAGGTATAGTATTTGATTTTCAAAACAACACAAACAATTTGAAAACATTGATGAAATCTTTATTGGAATCGATAGAACGATAAATATAATTTAATGTTTGAAGATGATTTCATGCAAATGTTGTCCGCGGCTCCGCTTTAGATGGCCCATGCGCAAAGTCCAATTTTGGCACACACTCCCTAACATATCGACCGGTATTCCAGAGCGTCAGTTGTTGCTGGTTTATCCCTGTAGACATAAGCCTTACCATGACCCCACAAGGAATAAGCCATAGGCGTTAAATCACACGATCTAGGCGGCCAATTGACGGGCCCCAAACGTGAGATAAACTGTTCACCGAAGGCGGCTCTTAATTGGACCATTGTTTCGCGTGCCGTGTGGCATGTGGCACCATCTTGTTGAAACCACATGTCAGGCATGTCCAATTCTTCCATTTTGGGCAACAAGAAGTCGTCAATCTTCATACGGTAGCGCTCGCCATTGTCGTATTTGAAAAAGTACGGCCCGATGATGCCACCGACCCATAGTCCACATCAAACAGTGACTCTTTCGGGATGCATCGGTAGCTCTTGCAATGTTTGTAGATGGTCTTCACTCCAGATGCGCCAATTTAGCTTGTTCCCGTATCCATTTAACCAGAAATGAGCCTCGTCGCTGAACACAATTTTTCGTATAAAAATGTGGATCTTCCTCCAACTTTGTCAGCGCCCATTCACCAAATGTTAGACGTTGTGGGAGGTCGTGTGGCTTCAATTCTTGCACCAGGTGTATCTTATAAGGTTTTACACTCAAATCCTTCCGCAAGATTTTCCACGTAGTGGAGTAACAGAGGCCCAATTGCTGCGAACGGCGGTGAATCGACATTTCACGGTCATCACGAACACTGACGGATACAGCCGCAATATTTTCTTTGGTCCTCACTCTACGTATGCGTGTTGGTGGTTTAATGTCCAATAATGTAAACTGGGTTCGAAATTTGGTCACAAGCTTCCCTTTTCTCTTTTTTCACCGAGCATGAATTTTGATAATAAAATTCAATAATTTGCAAGCGTTGTTCATTCGTATGTCGATTCATGGTTAAATTATAGACTAAACTGAACAAGTTTGACAATGACACAAGGCACGATTAACGCGTGATCTGTCAAAAACACTGTTGTCAAAAAGAGACCAGCAAACAAATCACTTATCAGAAAGTGAATGTGCATGATTTTTTATGTGATATTTTATTTTATTATAACTTTCTCTTGAATTCCTTGAATTATCAAATGTTTGCGTTGAATAAAATACTAAATTGAACTAATGAGTACAAAAATACCACAATCTGTATTGATGGCAAGCTTAACTATGTCCATCATATGTGTTTTTCATTTGCAGGTACCTACAGTCTCTACATCTAAAATCACTTGCAAAGTCTTCAGCGTTCAGCTCTCTCGATTCAGAATACTTCCTTGCCATACCACAAACTTCGATGGACTCAGTATCAATCTACAAATATGAAAAAAGCCACTTTGTCGAACACGATTCAATAAGAAGCCCCAAAGTAACTGCAGTGGTGTCGTTCACTATTGGCTTTAAATCATTTTTGGCTGTTGATGGGTATAACTCTGCTATATATGAGTTCACGAAAAATGGATTGATTGAGCGAAAAATTGTCAACAGTAATTCAGAGACGATACATTATTGGTTGCCTGTTCCTATTCAGACGTATAGGGATGAAGTTATTGTTTTTGCTCAAAGATATTTGGATCATGGAACTCACAAGACTTATGCTGTAGAAATAATTACATACAATGGAGGTAACTACAAAATAATGAGAAAGAAATTTGTTTTTGAAAACTAATCTATTTTTATTTTCTACTGTTTCTGCATCGACATTGTCACGTCTTCAGGTTATTTTGAAGAATTAACTCCTTCATGAATTACCGACTTTATGCAATACAAATTACAAAAATAAAACTAGTTACAAAAGGATCACTTTGGACGCAACTTATTCACGAAGCAGTAAGAACAAAATTTGAAAATTACTTGGGTGAACAGCAAAACCCTCATAACACCATATATTCCAGTATTTTGATAATGTCTATTACCAACTTCAGGGAAAAAGCTGAAATGATTTTTATGCGTAGTTGAATTTGAATTGCAAGGAATAACAAAAACACAACTTACTGTTAGTGAGGTTGGCCGTGTGAAAAAGATGTTCAAGTTATACAAATAAAACATATCAAAACTGATGGGGCTTCCTTACCGTAAAAATGTCAAAAAAGCATTATATAATAGAAGTTATGCATGCAAAAATATTAAAATCTGTTAGAAATATTGAAAACATTGAATCAACAGGAAGGAAGCACATGCTACCTACTAATCGCTGTTCACCCGAATAATTTCAAAGGTCGAAAACGGTAAGAACAGGAATTGGAAAAAATATTTCTATTCTGGGGAACTGAACCATGTTGCATATCGATATGCGATATCCATATGCCATATTTTATGCAACTAGGATGAAGTTAACGTTTTGCTTATTTTTGACAGATATCCCCTTTATTTCAAAAAACAAGTTCGGTTAATTGTCATCAATTCATGTATACATAACAAACAATACCGGCAAGTAGCTAACATTTTTAATGAACGACATTCAGGAAAAAATGTTCAACATACTCCTGTGTCAAGGATAATGTCGAAATTCAGAGAAACGGGATCCGTAGCAAATCAATTTAAGAAAAAGCACACTCCAACTGAATATGATGAGGAGGCTCAACTTAACATTTGTTTAAAAGTTATTGAACACGGACAAACGAGCATAACCGATATCATCAAAAATACCGATTACAAAAATAAATTTTGGCCTTACAAGCCAAAATTTATTAACACATTAAAAGAACGAGGTTTTGATGTCCGTTTGGGGTTTTCATTCTAGTTTCAAGGAGAGAGAGAAGAAAATGTAAAATTTCCGTATACAATTTTATAGACAGATGAGGCAACGTTCTCTTCAAATGGAACGGTAAGTTCTCAAAATCCCAATTTCACAGTTGAATGTGGTGATCAGTATTCCTTTAAAACTAATGTATGGTGTGGGATACTTAACGACCAAATAATTGGGCCATTTTTCTTTAGGGAAAATTTATCATCCGTCGGTTATCTCAACCTTTTAAATAATGAGGTTAGTGAAGTTTTAGATAATATGCCTTTAAATATTAAATACGACCTATGGTATCAGCTTGATGGCGCACCAATACATCACACGGTTGCTGTAAAACAGTCCCTCCAACAAATGTTCAGAGGTAAAGTTATTGGACGTAACTGGGAACATTATTGGCCACCTAGATCACCCGACTTGACGCCTTTAGACTTTTTCTTGTGGGGTTACCTGAAACAAAAAGTGTACCAAAGTAGACCATTTACTGACATACCATTCGCGAGTGGTGTGCAAATATAAATCCCCGATTTATTAAAAATGCAGTTACAGATGTCAGTAGAAGGACCATAATTTGTATTGAACGTGGAGGACGACATATTGAAATGTAGGCTATAAGTGTTCGACAACCTCATTTAGATCAATAAGTAATTTTTTGTACCCATTTGTATTTTCTATAATATTATTGTTGTTTAAAATTTATAATAATAATAATGGTTCTATCGGAATTATTTGCATTTTTTTAGTCTGGGGATATCTGTCAAAAATAAGCAAAACGTTAACTTTATCCTAGTTGCATAAAATTTGGCACATGGATATAAAATTGCCGTAGACACAACTTTTTCAAGTAACTTTTTGTTAAATTCGATCTAGAAATGCACTTTTTAAATTTTTTTCAAAAAAAAAAGTTGAATTTGACAAACACTGAACGGCAGTGGGTCGCAGTTGGCCGCATCATTTCAAGTTAAATTTAAAGCACAAACAAGTGCCGAAATGAAACTTCATTGAAACTTTTCGAAAAAAAAGGTTTCCCATATGGTGCGCACTTTAATGGTGACACTGTATATTTTTTTAAATACCGACCTCTAGGTTGATATGTGATTCACCTTTCAATTTCTCTTATCAGTCTATACCTATTCTTGAAAATTCATCTTCAAATATCATGAAAATGTTTTATAATGGAGAAAATAACAATATGTGTTAAAAATATAGAAACTTTGAAGGATTTGAATTGATGGATACTATGAAAAAGTCAAATGTATTTCATAACTTGGATTATATTGGAACATCTAGAATTCTTAATGATACAGTGACATCACATAAAAGTGATATAAAACTCAATAAGAAATAATGTGCATTAGCACAACACTATAGAAACAGGACAAATTACACTAATATCAAAGTTTTACGTAGAGAAAAAAATGTTCAAACGCCTTTTTCTTGAAATAGTCGAAAACAATATTTCTTCTGATTGTTTGACTAAAAAAACTGACATTGATTATCTCAGCAATATATATATAGTAGCTTACTACACCAAAAACATAATATGAATGAAAATCGTATCTTCAGAGTTAACGATTATCCCACCAAATCATTATGCTTTAATAAAAAACGACAAATATGTGAAGGTATGACGTTTGTCAAACAAAAATAATCCTACTCGCGTTTCATTTCGTTTTATCCATTCATATGTTCAATTCGTTGTTTTTTACTCATTTTTACTGTATGATTTTATTATGTTATTCAAGGAAAAATATCCACAACTTGAAAAATTATAGGCCTTGAAGAAGCTTTCCCCGAATTCAACGTATCACAATAAATTTTGCTACCAGAAGTCAAAGTGGGAATTGAAAATGGAGAATTACTTCGAAATAATTAATTCCAAACATAATTTTCCATATATTTTTTGAAAGATCATGGTTTCGTCAGTTATATGTCAGCAGAAGGATTATTCCACAATTGTAATTATTTGAAACCAACACCCAAAGACAATACACTCTTGATCCAAAATCAGACAGCACTTTCGACACGTCATGGATCTCCTCGGTAGTGCTAGGCTGAATCACGAATGAGCTGCTGGATTCAGCTGTACCTTAATGTCTAAGTAAGTAGAACCGATGACGTATTCGCTTACGAAGCCGCCATTTATGTCATCGAGAGAAGACTCGACGACTATCAAAGATGAACGAGTTTCCCCAAGGCGGTCAATTGCAAATCGAAATTCTCCAAACGATATTCATCCTCTCTCTTTCTCTGCACCACTGATGAGACATATGGCGGGCAGAAACAGAGCTGTATGGTGTTGAATCACGAATCAATTGTCTTGGATCTGGTTTCAACTAGTTGCCCTGAAGTGGAAGCTGCAGAGAGAAAAAAGACGAATCTCGTTATTAGATCGTTGTCAAGCAATTTGGCTTTGCAACTGACTGCCTAGAGAAGCCTTATTTATCATCGACATTCGTAGATGAAATCTTCTGTCGATTCCATAAATAGCGTCTTCCAGAGAGCAGATGTCTTTGCCTCTACTTACTTAGGCGTTCTTTAGGGTTTTTGTTAAATTTTTGTTGAGAGATGCGATGTAAATTGTGATTGTGTAAAATTGATAATTTGTTGTCATTCAAATAAATAATAAATGAAAAACTGAAATAGTATCCTGCAGTGATCATTTTCAGGTTAACTGGAAGTTTCATTAGTTTGTAGAAAATACATTCTATAATAGTAACAGGTTTTTATTCAGGCTTGGTGAATATGCCGATCAGTGTTGAATTATATGAAGTAAAACTGTGACATAAGTCATCACTTTTCAGGTCAGTTCGAAGAACATGAAGATGTACCTTGCTCATCTTTTGAAGAAACATCCCCTTGGTTGATTTGTCTCGCACACGACAATGGTATAGTGGGAGCTAGTTATATGGCTATAGGAAATAAACTAGCACTGATAGTATCGAAACCCAGCAAAAGCTCTTTCGTTACATTCATGATTCATAGTACTATGAAATTGATGCCGCATCCAAAAAAACGTGAAATAGATTTGTTACATGAGCAGAAGCACAACCTACAGGTGAGTTTTATAAACGATTTGCCACAACCAATATTCATGAATAAATACGTGTTCTCTCAAGCGCTGTTGAGCTTGATATTTCTAAGACCTTTGACCATGTGTGGCATGAGGTTTTGCTGGCTAAACTTCGATGCTATGTCGGATAATTTCTATGTATGGCTCTTCAGCTTCCTGAAAAACGTTCCCTGCAAGTGGCCATCGATAAATATCTCTCAAATACTTTCACCATCAACGCTGGTGTTTCCCAGGGATCCATATTGTATATCAACGACTTTTTGGAAAAAACCTAGAATTCAATATATTGATTTGCTGAAGACAGCACACTTGTCTCGTTATTCCATTTGGATTCCAGAATATCGTCTACGGAGGCACATCTTCACCGGCAGCAGGAGGTTGCATATCTTAATGAGGATCTAGAAGTAATTTCGAATTGAGGTGAAAGTAACCAGGTTCAATTCAATGCCACAAAATCCTAGGCATCGGTTTTCTCCAAGAAGATAAATGTCTCCGAATCAGATATAATAATGTCAGACAATTTCGCTTTCTGCTTCGATAAGTTTGTTGGGGGTTGAAATGGACACCAATATGTTTTGGCACGATCATGTCGGTAGCATTGCAAAGGCTGCTTCTCAAAAGCTTGGAACACTGTTCCGAACCAGAAAACTGTACACACCTCATTAACTTTCAATGCTTTATAAAGCTCAGATCAAACCTTCTTTGGAGTATTGTTCTCATGGATAGAGCTCTGCCTCCAAACATACCCTAGAGTTGCTGGATTTCATCCAGAAAACAGCCATCCGCCTGACTAGAGACGTGAACGTCACGTGCATCCTTAATAGCCTGGAATATCGAAGAAAGGTTGGAGATTTGTCTTTCTTTCATAGACACTTTTACGGGGGTGTTCGAGTGATTTGGCACATTTGATTCCACCAAGAGCGGTACATAAATGAGTGGTTTTTTAAATTGATTATTAGAAGCCCAAATTGAATAAAGAAACAAAATATTTTTTCCTAGAAGTCTAAATTTTGATTTTCTAAAGAAATCTTGAATTTTAGATAATATGAACAAAATCTTTGTAATAATTTACGTAACTTTTAGGTCTAAATTTAATTTAATGAGATAATTTCATTTTCGTTACTATTTATGTTAAATAATAATGAATTGGGATAGTTGGCCCGCTTCTACTACAGGGTTTTCCATTAAATTTGAATAAAACAAAGTATGTGTGAGACATCATCGAAATGTTTCATTCGTTCGAAAGACCTATTGAGGCCATTATGTGTGTGGAGTATAACATCGTTCAAATGTCCACCACGGTTTCTCTGGGTAGAGTGCATCCGAAACGTCCAATTTTCCATGACTGGCGCATAAATAAGGCTGAGTGTGACCAATGACGTGGGTTAAGTGGTCTTTGAGGAACGCTGTGGTTTGTGGCTTATTCGCATACACCTGCGACTTGAGAAAACTCTATAGAAAAAGTCTAACGGGATCAAATTTTGGTGGCCAGTTCAAATTACCTCTACGTGAGATAACCATGCCCTCATATCGCTCGTGCAGAATATCCAATGTGGCATGGGCTGTGCATCATGAACCACCTTCCTGTTGAAACCACGTTGATGTCCAGATCATTCAATTTAGGCCAAAAGAAGTTGATAATCATCGACCTATGGTGCTTATCGTTGACAGTGATGACCTGGCCAATGTCTATCAAAGAAATTTGGACCGTTGACACCGCTAGCCCGAAATCCATACCAAACAGTGACTTTTTCAGGATACACTGGATATCGTGTGGATTGGTATCGTCTCGAATTCGACAATTTTGTGTTTTCACGTACCCATTTGTCCAGAAATGGGCCTCATCGCTGAAGATGATTTATCGATGAAAATTAGGGTTAGTTGCCAACTGCTCCAGAGCCCAGTCAGTGAACATACGTCATTATCTTTGGTCGTTCACCTTCAGTTTTTGGGTCAGTTGAATTTTGTACGGGTGCATTCCCAAGTCACGATGCTAAATTTCCCAAGTTGTGGTCTGCTGAAAAGTCGACTGCCTTGGAAAGCTCCTGCACACAGACAGCGACGATGTTTTCGGCGATCTTGCGTTTCGTCAACGTACGAGTGTTGGTCTATCGTTCACTGAACCAGTGGACTCAAATTTATCCACCATATTGCAAATAGTCCTCTCGGTAGGACGATTATAGCGACCGTAAAATAGGTGAAGCGCGCGGTACGTTGCCCGAACAGAACACCATTTTATTATTTGAACGTCTTTTTGATCGATATATCACTCCGTGGATATTTGCGAAACCAGATGGCCGTTATCAATTGTCAAAGTTTGGAAGACCCTGTTGGAAGACCCTATACTTGTGCAGAGTTGAAAGTTTTCTTTGAAACTCCCTTGGAAATAAAATTTCGATTTTCACAAAAAGTTAAATGGCTTTTATATTCTTCATGAAGAAATTTGGTTTACAGAAACTAATCGATGAGCAAGTGAGAAAGTATGAAGAACTGGTTCAATTGAAAACAGAATCATTCCGGGATCTGACAGATTCGCTGAACACTGAAGAATACATTGTAGGAGAACCTGAAGAAGATATAACAAAATTTGAAAAAGATATTCTTTCCATGGGCTTGAACTTAGATGAAGCGATGAAAAAAGTTACGGAAATAAAATCTAAAGAAAACCAAACTGAATATGACACTATCATAGTCAACGGAGCCATGAAAGTTCAAAATAATTTTACTGTGGATAAAGTAGAAATAGATGAAATAAATAATCAACCAGCCACAGATTTACTGCGTGATATTGTCAGGTAAGCCATTTTTTTATTGAAGAAATTTTTCACAAATTGTAATTTTTCAGGAAAGATGAATTGAATGAGCCTCTAAAAAATAAAACTTTCACAGACCTTGAAGTGAAAAATTTGAATTTTGAAGTAGTAAATAATATTAATGCATCTCAGATTACATACAGCGATGATGATATAGTTCTGAGAGGTAATATTACTATTGAGGGACCTGCAAAGCTAAACAAAACGACTGTAACAACTGGAAAAATCAACGATATGGATATTACAGGTGAGGTATATATTAGAGAACGGTTCGATTGCTTTTTATCTTGTTGTGAACTGATATTTTGTGTTTCATTAGTTCGGACTTCCATTGTCTACTATATAAAATGATTTGAAATCCCTGAAACAAGTAAAAAAGAATAATTAAAAAAGAATAGTTGAAAATAACAATTATATTAAGCAACAATAAACCTGAAATGAAATGATAGTGAAATAACCTACAAGTAAAAATATNATTTCAGGTTTATTGTTGCTTAATATAATTGTTATTTTCAACTATTCTTTTTTAATTATTCTTTTTTACTTGTTTCAGGGATTTCAAATCATTTTATATAGTAGACAATGGAAGTCCGAACTAGTGAAATTCATCACGAAACATTGTCAATCACCTTCAAACAAATGATATTTTGTGATTACATAAGTTTACACGGTTTTGGATCTGAGTACCCGAAATCTGTTCATTAAGGCAAATTAAGGGAGGCTGAATCCAAATCAGCAGCATGTTTTTCAAAATTGAGTATTGTTTTCAAAATATTCAATTAGTTTTTTATTGAATTATTTTTGACCATCAACAGCAATTCATTGACTCAAAATGTATTATTTTCAAAAATATATCACATGCAGTGTGTAAAAGCCAAATGGAATAAATTCATTATTTTGGTAACGGTACATATTTTAACAAAATCCCAAAACATGTCAAATTTAAATTATAATTTGACGTGTTCCCAATTTTTCAAATGAGAAGTATAAACTTGTGATATATCGTTTGGAAGGCCTCTTCATTCTGTATTAAAAAATGTTATAGCTATCAAGTTTATTACAACAATTGAGATAAGATAAATTAAAATCATATGGTTACCGAAATTCGATAAAATACACTCAAAACTTATTGCAATATACTCAAAATTTATTTCATGTTGAGATATTGATAATAAAAAAGTGAGCAAAAACCATAGCAATGTTTGTTAAGATGGTATCCTTTAAAAAACTGTAAATAATTTCCGTTGCAGCGTTAGTTTGAAACGCTTCGTCAACTTGTTTTGTATGTTACATTAGTTGTCAGTATTTTAATTTGAGTTTAAAGTTCCTTAACTTCATGTCTGACAAATGGTTAGATTACCGGAAATGCATATAATAACTGTTTTACAAATGTTTGGTTATAGAGATAAAAGCCGAACACAACAGGAATTAGCTCGCCTATTTCATGAGAAGTTTTCCGGTTTACCGCCCATATTTGGAGGAACAATAAGCAAAATAAAGAAGCAGTTTCGCGAGCTTGGTCATGTGGGGCAGATAAAAAAAGCAGCTGCCAATGCAATGAGTGATGAACTCAAATTAGTAGATACATCGAGTAGACAGGCATCCACTACATAGCCATAAATCGATAGTTAACATATTGAAATAAAATAAAATACATCCCTAGAAAGTGATACCAATTCAGGAGCTCATGGAAGACGATTTTGAACTTTTTTGAGCAAATGATGGACATGTTGGATAACAATATAATTCAATTAGAAGACGTTATGTTTTCTGATGAGTGTACTTTGTCTATTAAAGGTCATGCTAATCAGCAGAATTGCCACTACTGGACAACGGAAAATCCTCACTGGATGAGAGAAAAATACACGCAATACCCTCAATATGTTAATTTTAGGGCGGGGATTGTAGGAATCCATATCATTGGTTCCTTCATTGAGGACAACTTGAATGGCGATAATTATTTGGCACTACTTCAAAATGATGTCATTCCAAGTTTAGCAAATTTATATTCTGATCCAGGAAACCCTCAAGTTCCAGTGAATACGATAGAGTTTCAACATTACCGACAATACCTCGATACATTTCCCAATCGGTGGGGATAGGAAGGCGAGGATCGATTGAATGGCCAGCGCGATCAACCGATCTTTCTTATTAGATTTCTTTTTATGGAGATATGTGAAGAGCAATATGAACAAAAGTAAATCTTCAGATTTGAATGACTTGAAAGAACGAATAACAATTGCCATTTGGTCGGGCATGCCTGATGTGTTGACTAATATTAGAAAACAGTTTTATTTGAGATTAGGATGTTGCCAAGACGTTCGTGGTGAATATTTTGAACATCTACTTCGTTAACATCTATAGTTCTTTTCTGTATTCTACATTTCGTTACGTTTTGCATTATATTTCAGTTTTTGAGTGTATTTTATCGAATTTCGGGAACCACATGATTTTAATTTATTATATCTTGATTGTTGCATTAAACTTGAAAGCGATAACATTTTTGAATAAAGAATGAAGAGACCTTTCAAGCGATATATCACAAAACTATACTTCCCATTTAAAAAATTGGGGGTTGTACCTATCATTCGAAGGGGGTTGAAGGTAGGGGTGACATTTTTACGTTGAAGAATGTTAAATCACAACTTTAAATATGTAGAGTGACCGAAATAACGAATTTATTCTATTTGGCTTTCACACACTGTATATCACGACATGTTTCGCTATTCATCCTCCAATTCAGTCTACTATCAAATTGATTTTGTACATTTTTCTAGTCAATTGTATGTTTTTTTTCAGGTGATTTTCTGAAAAATGGAATGAAAGCAAACAAAATGAGTAATCTGAAACCTGTTAAGAGAAACATAACCGCTCATATGGACGAAGACAAAAATGATGCAGAAAGTGCATTCATATCACAAAACATTTCAGTAATCAATATCAATGGAATACCATTTTCAGAATTCATCGCAAACTTGTGTTTGGTGAACGTCAAATGCTATATTCCTGGAAATCTAACAATTATTGGAGTATGATAATATTCATTTATTAATTTCAGTAAATTGTAAAAGGTCTACATTGACCACGATTACAATTATCAAACCGTTAATAACACTGAGCATTTTGGAAAGCAGATTGACATTATAAAACCAAATTTATTATTAAGTCGTGTGAATGAATACCTGTTTCGAGCAGGATAATTTAATGAGCTGAAATTGATTGGGAAAAACCTTGCTGCCTGTTTGAGTTGAAAGAGAAAGAGCAAGTAGTGGAGGGAATTAGGGGAAAACATTTAGGTTGATCAAATATCTTTCCATTCAGTAGAACCTATGCAAAAAAAACGTTTTAGAACATATGTATTCGAAAAACACTATATTGTGAGATTTTCACTAAGCAACTTTACGAAAACGCAACACGTGTTTCGCCATACAATGGCTTCTTCGAGCGTGTTTTCACTAACTATATTCTACATATTCAATGGTTTATATACCTAATTTGTATATATTTTCTAGAAAAAAATTGAAAAAATAAATAAGTTCAACCGTTCAACAGTTTATACGAGATCAATTGAAAAAATGAGGAGAATTTTCAAATTTCTCTAGCAACGTACATTCGATTAGCGGTTTTTAATTTTTTTTGCTGGTACACTCGACTCGAACATATGTTCACAGTTTCAGCTGTTTAGCATGTTTAGTTTGTTGGTGAGAAGTAAAAAAGTGATGATTTTCTGCTATCGAAGAAAATGAATCAAAGATTTTGCTTCATGAAGTTCTGCGCCGTTTGCGATACGAATAAAACATCCGTTATTGTGTAAGCACAATTGACGGATTTTGCATCGAGATACTCCACGTTCACTCATCATTGCTTTCTTGAAATTCTTTGGCTAAAAACAACATCATGATCATGCGTCAGCCACCGTATTTACCAGATTTGCCCCCCTGTGACTTTTTCCTATTCCTATGATCGAAAGAGACTCAAGAAAGGACAGCGTTTTGTGATGAATGAGAACATAAAATCTGAATCGCTAGAAGAGCTCAAGGACATACATAAATATATTTTAGAACTGCTTGGAGGTTTGGAGAAAACGCTGGCACAAGTGTATTATATCTGAGGAGGACTACTTTGAGGGGTCAAAATAGAACTTTATTGAAAAAAAAATAAAAATTCACCTCATTTTCTGAACAGATCTCGTACACCAATTTGAGAAACAGCTAATGTCGTTGTGTTGGCAATGATGGTAGTGAAGGACGAGTTTTATAAAGGTAGAGGTGTAGTGAACCCCAGTTGTCATACCCACGGCTGTAACATTTTTTTTTATGATAAAACACAAGCACTACAGGAAAATCCTCAAGGCGCTCTAAGAGCGGTGCCTGTGCGAAAGTAGTGATTCACATTGGATTTTAATCACTGGAGGTTAAATCAATTTGGAAAAACGTTCCCAGAAAGTTTATTCCACATAAACATAGGTTTCCAAATGAAAGAGTTTTTGAAGAATGAAGTTCGAGTTGTACTGAGTTGTAACTCAAAATGATGAGCAGCCACAGTCTGTCTCTTGGTGGAATCAAATATGTCAAGTCACTTGAACACTTCCCGTGAAAGTATCTATAGAAGAGAGACAAATCTCCAATCTTTCTTCGATGTTCCAGACTATCAAGGTTGCAAGTGATGTTCGTATCTCCAATCAGGTGGATGGTTCTTTTCTGGATGGAATCCAGCAACTTCAGGGTATGCTTAGGAGTGGAGCTCCATACATGAGAACAATTCTCCAAAGAAGGTCTGATCCGAGTTTTATAAAGCATTAAAAGCTGCTGAGGTGTACAGTTTTCTGGTTGGTAACAGTGTTCCAATCTTTTCGGAAGCTGTTTTTGCAGTTCCTGCGACATGATTGTACCAAGACATATTGGTGTCCATTTTAATTCCCAACAAACTTATCGAAGCAGAAGGTAGAATGTCTGACTGGATTTATTATATCCGGTTCGAAGACATTTATCTTTTTGGAAAAAACCGATGCCTGGGTTTTTGTGGCAATGAATTGAAACTTATGGAACGCCGTTCTACTTTCGTCACAAATATTCATTCCTGATTTTATTCAATTAACAATTTATTAGTTTGAATTTAATTGATTCATGCATTTGTTCGACACATTAAAAACGATTGTTCGCAAAATTTGTTCTATTTCAAATGACACTTGATTTAAAATGTTACATGAATTAATTTGTTTAATGAAACGGCGTGCCACGCCGTTTTACTTTGTATTTTCTTTGGAAATAATTAAATTATTTTGTTTATTGAATTTCCGTGATACATGAATTAAATTGTTTGTTGATAATTTTTATTCGGTGCTGCGATCGAACGGATTATTACCGTACTATGGCCAATGACATACATATTATATGCATTTATGTAGTTCCGCAAAAATACGCCCAACGTCAGCGCCTAATAAAAATTATAAACATACAATTTAATGCATGTATCACTGAAATGCAAAAAACAAATTAATTCAATTCTTTCCAAAGGAATAATAATAAAAAGTAAAACGGTGTGGCACGCCGTTTTGCTCTTTATTAATATTCATTTGAAATGAGCTGAATTATTTTGTTTGTTAAATTTCAGTGATACATGAATTATATTGATTGTTGATAATTTTTATTCGGCGCTGACGGCGCTGGCGTCGGGCGTATTTTTGTGGAACTACTCAACTACATATATGTATGGCGTTGGTCATAGTACGGTAATAATCCGTTCGACCGCAGCGGCGAATAAAAATTATCAACAGTCAATTTAATTCATGCATCACCTAAATGCAACAGTCAAAAAAATTCATTTTCACTAAATACCAATAGAAAGTGAAACGGCGTGTCACGCCGTTTTACTTTTTATTAATATTCCTTTGAAATGAGCTGAATTATTTTGTTTGTTGAATTTCAGTGAAACATGAATTAAATTGATTGTTGATAATTTTTATTCGGCACCACGGTTGAACGGCGTTTTGTCGTACTATAAATGAACTAGCATGTTGTCATATGTAACACTAGAAGTTCTTGATAAATCCGCTCGATACCAGCGCCAAATTAAAATTATCAACAATCGTTTCAAATGTATCTTTCAAATACAACAAACTTTTCAAATAATCAGAAAATTTAATTCTTTGACAGAAATTTTTCTATAAAGATTGATGAAATAAAATGATAATTGCTTGAGAATGTTTTGCACGAAAGTTGTAACCAAATTTTAAATTGAATGCATTAAAGTGAATGTTGGAAATATTCAACACTTTCAATAAAATTGAAATATAACAATCTTTATTATTCATAGAAAAATATTTAGTATGGAAAGTTAATTTGCTATATTTTCAGACAAACGAAAGTCTATTTTTATTACCAACAATGTTCACGGGAAAACTTTGACAGTCATTCAAATATGTTCATTGAAATTTTACTTCCAAACTCACTTTTAGAAAGTGAATTTAAAGTTTCATTATAATTCATCAGTCATATAAATAACTAAAATTTTCTTCAAAGGTCAAAATTATATGCGGAATTGAAACGTTTGTTGAATTTACTCGAATTATACATTCCATTGACTGTTGAATAAAAATGTTTGTTTATTGCTGAGTTGAACTATATGTATATAGATTATTTTTCAGCATAATATATAACAAATTGGCGTTCCATTTTCCAATACTTTGAAACAATATTTTTCTTCTGAATCAATAAAAGCTTCAAGTTACTTCATTAGTCTTTTTTATTCAAATAACAATTTTATTCATGTAACATTTTAAATCAAGTGTCATTTAAAATAGAACAAATTTTACGGACATTCGTTTTTAATGTTTTGAACAAATGCATGAATCAATTAAATTCAAACAAATAAATTGTTAGGTGAATAAATTGAGGAATGAATATATGTGACAATGAAAAGTAAAACGACATTCCATAGAAACTGGTTATTTTCACCCTAATTCAAAATAATTTTTAGATCCTCATTAACATATGCAACATTCTGCTGCCGGTAAAGATATGTATCCGCCGCAAATGTCCTGGAATCCAAATGGAATGACGAAACAAGTGTGCTGTCGTCAGCAAAGCAATATATTGGATTCTTGGATCATATTGATGATCGCTCAAGATGTTGAATCCTTCCAGATATTCAAGAATATGATTTTTGATATCACTGATAGCAAAGCGACTGGTCTATAGTTATTTGGAAGATTGTTCTTGCCCTTTGTGGGATTAGGCTGAACGCGAGCAATCTTCCAACAAGAAAAAAAACCTTTTCTTGTAAGACAGGTTGAAAATTTTGCAAAACACTGTGTTGAAAAATAAATCACCTCACGGTTTTATATTTTTCTGATACTTCTGTGGTCAAAAGACGTCACTTTCTCTCCGTAGCGTATACAGAATTTAGTTTCTGTGAGAGCCCGAAATAAATTTCTGTATTATCTACCTGAATAAATCATTTTATTCATAGTGTTCCTTTTTTTCTGTGAGGTAAACAGAATATGTCTTTTATAATTTTAGGAAGCGAGCTATAGGCACTCCTTTTAGAAGTCATAGTAACAACGATTTCAAAATTCACCAATACACCAAACTCGAAGTTCTTTATATTTATTTACATCTTCATATAATATTCACCTTTTTTCTATTTTTCAGAATACAACCGTGAATGAGTTGAATACCAGTTACTTGAATGACTTAATGTTTCCGGAGGAGTACATCCTTGCTGATTCAGTTTTCTATGCTAATATCACAGGTAACGAGTGACTCCTCAGTATTTATATTATGAAGAACTCTAGAAATATTCATAATACATAAATACATCTTTATTCAAATACTTTATTCAAATAAAGCGCATCATTGCGCTTTATTTGAAGATATATCTTTTCCTTGTCGTATAAAACATGGACAGATATCACCTTCTAAATAGAGTATCTGTGTGCAAACTTTATTTCGAGTTTGTTGGCAATGGTATGCAGGATTTTGTCTGACGGTTCTTTACGAGTGCGGTATCAAAAACAATGAGGCAACAGAGCAAGTGCTCGATTTGTCCTCAGAGCAGACACTACATTCATGGTTTGAGTTTCCATTTTTATTCCATTGGTGGTGGGCATGACTTCCGTTGATTTAAATGACCTTCTTTTACGAGTGTAATTTAGTGTGGGCAGCCAGATTTTATTGATGTTGATTCATTTCTATTTTCGGTAAAAATTGTTTGTGTTTTTGAATCCCATTCGCCTTCCTACATAGTCTTGGGTAGTTGCTCTGAGCTCTGAGTTCTGAGTCTCCTCCAATGCCATGTTGGGTACATTCTCGAAAAGTATATACTGCTACTGCTGACAAGTAGGTATTCCCTTTTCGATTTTTTTTTGTGTTCAGAGAGCCGAGTACTCACACTTCTCTTTGTGGGATCCAGTATAATCCTGCTGAAGCTGAACACCCTCTGGGATCTTCAGTTGACCTCTGATAGTTGTCTTTGGCTTGAATACCAATTTCAAGTTATGTTTTCTTCAAAACCATCGCATTCTGGTTCATGATATCCTTCTTAAGCTTGTCGCCCACTTGTCAGCACAGCACGGCGCTGTCCGTCGCCTGATGGCGACGGGTAGCCAGCATACTGAAGGTGTTTGTTCGATTTCAACGGAATTTCTGTTGACATCGATCGGTGACAGAAACATGTCTATCACTAGCAGTTCTGAAGAAGTCATCTTCATAGTGGCCATATTATTGAATGTAGAAGAAAATAGTCACAAAAAAGAATGTTGTGGGTCCATCCTAATCAGAAGAGGGCAAATCTGGGAGAGTTCCATCATCTTTTCAACGACCTGAAAGAAGACGAGTAGAAATTTTCCCAGTATTTCTGAATGACTCCAGACACATTTTCAGAACTTCTGGATATTCTAGAGCCTGCCTCAACAAGCAGCTAAACTTTTCCTCGTCCATTTTCATAGGTATCGTAGGTATGTTTGGACAAGTTGATGCTGGTAAGCGCTGGCCGGCAACGCGCTCACTTGGTCAGTCCGTCATTTGCCGGACAGGATCGGAGAGCTGGAATCCTTTCAAGTGGCAGATGCTCTTGGGTGTGCCGTGCCGAGCTAGTGGGCGGTTGTCCATTCATTTTCATTGTTCCAATCCAATCCGTATTTTGACGGGACGGGCCATGCTGTGCTGTACCGGACAAGTGTGCCGGACAAGTGGGCGACAAGCTTTACATGGTCAGAAACGCCTGCTTGAAATCGGCTTCGTTACAACCATTCTCTCCAAAGGCATTTTTTAGGTGATTGTGCGCTTCTTGCGAAGACTTTCTGGTTCACATATGTGTTGGGTCCTCCTATCTGAAATTTGTATTACTCAACGAGCAATTTCAATGGAATGCATACCTAGACTAAACGACAGACATGGATATCTATAGACCACAGCTTACAAAGGCGGATACAGTTATATCCTGTCGTGAAAGTTCATATTTTTTTATTGCTACTGTATGTATTTGAAAACTTTGTATCAACTCAAAATCAAAGAAATTATTGCTGAATGCATAAATCTGAGTATTCATTTAAATTGTAGATTTTCTATGGGAATAGTCATGAAATCCACGTCATTTTTGGCTATTGAAATTTCATGAACTGATATAATTCTGCGCTTCAAGATCTTCAATTAAATAAATTCCGATTTATTACTGTACCTCTGTATTTTTCAGGCTTTGAAAGCATTTGATTTTGATATTGAAATTATTCAATAAAAAAAAACTGCTGTATGAATAATAAACAAATAGATTTCAAACAAAATACACAATTTTACTCTATTGTGAAAGCTTAGGGGTGGTACCACTTCAAGGGGACATGTCAGAGCTTTATTCGTATGGTATACGAAGTGTTACATATGACTGGACTGTATCGTTTTTGAAGAATAAACAACAGTTTGTTAGATTGAAATATCATAGTGAGTCTAACACTACTACCTTTGGTTCTGAGCGCTTGGACGTCACGATGGGTGTACCACAAGGATTTGTGCTGGGTCCGATATTATTCCTTCTTTATATAAATGAAATCGATACCTTCATCATAGATTCATTCATAACGATGTTTGCTGATGACACATCCTTGGTGGTGTCTAGTCATGTGAAACATTTTCTGTTTGAGAAGTGTGTACTCTGAAGTCAGTTGTGAATTGGTGCGGAAACAATTCATTGTACCTCAATGCTGAAAACACTCAGTTGGTGAGATTCCACAATCGTCAAAGGCAGTGAGAAAAAGTACAAATTCAAATAAATGATCAAACACTCAACAGTTCAGATGATACAGCATATCTGGGAATAACAATGGATGCATGTCTGACTTGGAAAAAACACTGCACCCTCGTGATGAACAAATTGAATTCATTGTGTAACGTTTTCAGAAACCTCAGAAGCATTTTGACAGAACAACTATTATCATTATATCACGCACAAGTTGCGTTAAGGTTGCGATATGGCATATGTATATGGGGTAACTACACTAGCTTCAGATGTGTTTATTGTACAGAAAAGAAATATTCGTATAGTAGCAGTACATTTTCTTGTAGGGATATATTTCGAAAATTTAGAATTTTAATCCTATCCTGTGTGTATATTTCTGGATTGTTAATCTATGTTTTTAAAAACAAGAATAGATTTCCTTCAAATGGAAGTATTCATAATGTGAACACTAGACAAAAACGTGATCTCCATGTTCCTGTACTGTATAGAAATGATATTCATATTTGTATTATATCTCTTTATATGAATTTCCAGTTCTTGGACGATATATTGATGAAGAAAACATTTTTATAGGTCGAAAAAAGTTTGTTGGTTCACTTGGTGCAATAGCTGTCAGGTCAGAAGGTAACATTGGCGGTGTAGATACTGATGAAATCTTCACACTCTCCACCGATCAAATAATTCCAGGGAAATTCACCTTCAAGAATCTGGAGCTCACTGAAGAACTGAATGTAGGTTTGATATATCATAGTTTTTCAATATAGTATGATGATTACGATTTCAGGTTACTGGGAAAGTACTAGGAGAACATGTTAGCGAATTCGTTACCAATCCTACTCTGAAAGAAACTGATTTAATAAAATCTAATGTGGATTTTAGACGCCTGGAAGTAAGAGGAAACATAACCTTAGATAATGAATTCAGTGGCGAAAATTTTGGAAGCCTTTTAGACGACTTTGTGTATTTGGTGAGAATTGCAGCTATTTGTCAGTCTCCAAAAATACCCTTACCATGTACAATCTTTATAGAGTGAAGAAATTACTAACGTCACTGGATATAAGACATTCTCGAAAGGTCTAACAGTTAAAGGAAATTTGAAAATAGAATCAAACTCAATCAACAATGTGAACTTAGAAACGTTAGTTACGAAAGATTCCGAGCAGAAACTTGACATGAACTTTTTGAATGGAGCAGTAACAATCGGAAATCTTAGAGTCAACGGTACATACGATGGTATCGATATCGCCCAACTCGATGAGAGTTTAGTCAAGTTAACCGGGGAACAGTTCCTTGCGTCAACTCTTATTTTCACTGATGATGTAACCGTGGAAAACTTGGAAATAACAGGAAAACTCAATGAACTAGAACATACCGAATATTTGTATACGGATGGAGATATGAAAATGCCCAATAATGTGGCATTTGACAGAATATTAGTAGAGAATTTGCACGTACAGGGCAACTTCACGGGAAATTTCTCCAATTTGGATTTAGCCGATTTCAGTAGACGGTATTTGAGCTTTACGAAAAATCAAACAGTAGCTGCTCAGTTCCATATAGGATCGTCAGATGTTGATAATTTGTTTGCAGATGATGTGAATGGTCAGGATTTTGGGAAGTTATTTAATGAAACTTGGTTTTTGGATACTGTCAGGCAGATGTTGAACAACGGTACCAGTAAAGTTGAAAGTGAGTAATTTTTGTAATTATATAGGGTCTTTCATTAAGCGCTTCCTATCTTTGAATTTAAATGAAACGGAGTGTGTGTGGGATACAATTTTTTTATTTGTTTTAAAGACCAATTGATGCCATTATGTGTAGAATATAACATCGTTCAAATGTCTGCCACGGTTTCTTCGAAACGTCAAATTTTTCATGACTGGCACATAAATTTGGCTGAATTTGACCGATGGCTTGGGCTATGTTGGCTTTGAGGATCGCTGTAGTCTGTGCCTTATTTGCACACACCTGGTACTTAAGAAAATCCCACAAGGAAATGTACATCGGTGTTAAGACTCTAGTTATTTTTCCTTTCAGGAATCGTCAATAACACTGTATTTCTTCAGTCTAACAAAATTTTAATGACTTTTCCAAAATAACTTCTGACAGTCTCCTTTTTCTATCAACAACTATATGGTGAGCAAAAAAATATAAAAACAAGCAACAAAGTGAATGATTGGAAAAACTGAATAACAAATTTCAACATCATCCCCATTGCTAGAGGAACTATTGACAAATTTTCATCTTGATGTGATTCGCAAATATGCAAGGTAGGATGAGATTTTTCAGCCATTCCAACTCTAGAATGGGTTTGTTTCATGCTATGGAAAATGATACTGATTTGCTTATAGACTGATTGACTAGGGGTATATTATATTTATCGAGCCTAATCGGTCCCAAGATCTCTTTATATTTGCAGAAAAAAGAACAATTCTAAAAGCAAGAATTTGAATTGGCCGCGTGTCTGTTGACCAATAAAATTGATCGTGTCTAGAGCGGAGTTGCCAAATGTATTGGTTTTTAATATCCAATCACAGATCTCATGATCCAATTTGACAGATGCCATTTTTGTTGTTATTGTTGTCAACTCTGTGTGAATACAACTGTTTTGCTGCATATTCCGTGTCATTAGTTTATATTCCGAAAAATATTTTTTCAGGTTACTTTTGGATTGAATTTTGAATTTTACCATTACTACCACCAAAATGGTCAAATATGTTTTATACCTAGTTGTAAAAACAGATCATCTATACCAGCCAAAAGTTTTTCAGTGTTCCAAAAAACGAAACTCTAAGAGATCTATGGTTTTTTTTAGTTGGCCGAGCTAAAATGAAAATTAAACCAAAACTTTCCATCCTTCGATAAAAGACAAAGTCTGAAATGATCTACTAAATATACCACTTACCGTTTCAATTTTTTATTCTTCATTTCGGTACCGAAGTATTGCAAATTTTTCAAGTAAAATTCATCGATCATTTCAAAATCGACCCTTGGTAAGTTGTCGGAGTTAGCTTTAACAAAACTAGGCTCAACATTCATTTTGAACTTATTTTAACAAAAATACGAAGTTATGTGTGGAAACCTAAGAGCACATTGTCGCATACTCTACAGAGAGCGCTGGCTGACTGGATGACAATATGGCTAATATACTAGTAACGTTGAATTACTTATTTTTGGTGGGTGGCATGAATGCATAATTGATTTATTATATCAGAATTTATGAGCATTCGAAAACCATTTGAAAATACAGCTCGTTAAATTCTATTTAGAATCATATTTAGATATAACTTGTACTATTGCAATTATCAAGGCAAATATTATTGTCCATTTTTATGCTCAATTCGTGGATTCGAGCGATTTAAAACTAATGAATAATCACAGAAAATTTTAATTGATCGTTCATTTTCTCAGGAAAATGGAGTACCCATATCACAATTTATTGATTTATTCGGCATTGAAAATGTATGTCATATCGGATCCATTCTGCTTGTTTTCGCAACATTGAGTTTCAACTTTTTCTTAGCTTACAGCTCGCGTAGGAACAATTCGTTTTTTCATCGACTTTAGTTTGTGTGTGTTTTAAAAGTGTTTTAGGGATATATTTGAATATTGATATGGTGCATTCTTGTGCTGATTTTAATTATGTGAAAGGCACAAGAAAACAGAAAGCGCATTGGTTTATAAGTGAGTTATTTCATATGATGAGTTTAGGTTTCCAAAGGATAAAATGATGAGAAAAAACTGGGTGAAAGTATTGACAAAAAATAACAAAAATCCTTCCACTCTTCCAAGACTCAATAGAAATCATTTAAAGAGTGACTACAAATGACAGGGGAATGAAATATGGAATTTGATGACACAGTTTTTTATTTCAACTTCAAGTATTTTCCACAGAAAGTATTATCTGGAGTTAATACTATTGCTGAAAGTATGAAGGAAAATGAATTAATATTTTTGCAAAAAAATCAAATGTTTTTCATTTTACTTCATTGAATTTTGTCATATGATTAATGGTATTACCCCAGAAGCTTTTGTTGGATATGTTCGAATACAATCAATTCTATCTATACTTGACCTCGTTCAACTTTTCTCTCAAGTTTCGGAAGATTCAACAGAATACCCAAGCGAGCCTATAATGCTTGAATTTAGTAGCAATATTAGAAAGAGGAATCGTTTTTTGTTTTATAATAAATTGAAGTTGTACAGATTGAGGATTGTAGAATAAATTGAATATTCGAAATGATTCTTTAATCCAGTTTCCTATATTTTTTGATTTTCTTAACTGTAAACCTATTATTAAATAATGCATGAAATCATAGTTTAGGTAAATATTTTGTGATCTTTCGAATTTGTTTACTGATTTTAGATATAGAACATAGTTCCAAACATGATTTTTCATATACATTTTATTTCATGTGTAGAATTTTTCATTAATTGAAACTTTAAAGGGTTCATATACACTTCCATAAATAAACTGATAATTATAGGCTCCGTAAATTTTACGATTTGGCAGTGTTGATTATTTCCATTGTTTCTATTGGTCAATCGAACATTGGTAAGGTGGTGACGTCACTACCTTACCAAATTCGATTTTTAATAATTAATTATGGGAAAACTACGGTACTTAGAGAGATAAAACAAAGTGCACTGTTTTTCAATTTAGAATTTCTATCAAGTGAACTATAAACCAAAAATCATGAAACAAGCCCATTACTCACACCATGAATAGCCCATCCTAATTTGCATTTACTTGCCAAAGGAGAATTTTCTGGACCACACCGTATCTGTCGAGCAACGATAAGATCGATGTTGTCCTTTCCAATCAGGAGTACAGGTTTTTCATTGCAAATATCTTTTATTGGTAGATTTCTCAAATACGGAAATTTTGACATTTCTGTCATCTTGACGTTTTGTGAAGTCAGCGACAGATTGTTAACTGTCCTAACTCCTTTCATTATGAAAATATTTTTCTGGTCATTTTCAGGTCAATTTTCATCGATTCGTTTTGCCATGACGTCTCATCATTAGTCCATTGTAAGCACAAGGGTTCTGTGAAGCCGGTTAGTCCAAGTTGTTTAGCAATCTTTTCATAGAGTAAAGTTACTGTTGATGCCTCATCACATAATGCCAATACCTGAATTGATCCCTTTTTACCATGTATCAACGCAGTGAGAACTGTCAACTATATTTTTTTCGCTGGATCTCAGTGTATATACTGTTTTTGGATTTGCTTCATCCTATTCACTAGGACAATGAAACGTTTGCGAAATATTTCTATATAGTAGTCGATGGTGGAATAGTTTACAGCCATTGACTTCACGAAATTTCCTTGTCCTGCATTCGAACTTATGATGATTTTTCTTCAAACACGAAAAGCACAGCTTGTTTTCCGTAACGATTTTCCACCGTTTATCGACGTCATCGTTTTCCATAACAGGACAAATATCATGGACATGAGCTTTTACGTTGCAATAAAAAAATTTGTTCTCTTGAAAGCTCTCTTTAGAAAAAAGTACTTTTTCAGGTTTTTTCGAAAAATATTTTTGGTCAAATGTTTCAGAAACTGAAGGGTTACTAACATAGCAGGCAGCTCTTGCAACTTCTCCCACCCATTTGGTAAAATCTTCCAAATCCAACTTTTCATTTTCTTCAATCATTTTCTCGCCCCATTTCAGCTTCAAATGATCAGGTAACTTTCTGATCAGGTCTTTCAGTAGCTGTGGATTCTGAAGATGTCCTGAAGATTTGAGAGTTTTCATGATTGTAACCATAATATTTCACTGGAGAATTGTCTAAGTTTCTCAAAATTTGAATGTCTCAGACAAGGAAAAACTCTTACTTTCGATATTAGAACATCGATAATAAATTCAGGCCGCCCAAAGTAATTCAAGGGTTTGCATAACCAAATTCACATTACCTGCTGTGAGCATCATCCCAGCTACCGCGGATTTGGCTTCCCCTTTTAAACATTTCTGAAGTATAATTTCTTCATTACTGAAAGCGCATAGACTGCAAATATTTTTGAAGTATTTGTGAAACAAAGGCCATTCTTGTGGATTACCATCACAGCAAGGAAAATCATTTTAAAAAGAATTTCGAATTGAGAACTTGTTCCGCTTATTCGCAGTCGGATTTGAAACTGTCTTGATGGCATTCGAAATGGTTTCACAAAGTAATTTAATTTACCTTTTCTACCATCGCTACCTCTAGCTTCTTCATGTATGCATTCTTCTGGGTGGTTTTCTATCCATTGATACACTCTTTGTTCCATTCTGCTTCATCGGTGATACTTGAGCTATTCAATCGTAATTTTTCTCTTACTTTCGATCGGCCGCTTTCTGTTTCTTCTCGAGCGTCAATTTCAGCTCCGCCCAATTGGCGCTCTAGCTCTAACAATTTCAGACTTTTCACTAATTCTTCCTGTTCTAATTGGCGCATCTTCTTCTCTAATTCTTGTTTCTTTTTCTCATTTTCAAATGCTAATCGCTTTCGATCTATGCTTAATTGTGAATGTAGACTGAAAACTTCACTCATTGTGTTTCTTGTTTCGATTTCACTGAAACAGGATTTGACGGTGTACAACTTCTTTCTTTGCCAAATTTATCAGGCCAGATATAGTCATCATCAAGATTCCTGTTAATCCCTGCAGTTCCTCGTCTAGGTCCGTCCAGCAAGGAATTTATCGGCGCATCTTTTTCCATGTCGTGGGTTTGTCGGGATCACCAATGTTAAGACTCTATATAGTTATTTTTCCTTTCAGGAATCGTCAATAAAACTGTATTTCAGTCAAACAAAATTTTGATGATTTTTCCAAAATAACTTGTGACAGTCTCCCTTTTTTATCAACAACTATATGGTGAGTGCTTGCCGTTGACAATGATGGCCTGGCCAACGTCGTTCTCGAAGAAATACACACCAAACAGTGACTTTCTCGGAATGCACTGGACGCTCTTGAATCTCATGTGGATTGGTATTTTCCTAAATTTAACAATTTCGTTGTTCACGTACTCATTCATCCAGAAATGGGTCTCATCGCTAAAGATGATTTTTAGATAAAAATTAGGGTTAGTTGCTAATTGCACCAGAGCCCATTCAGCAAACACATGTCTATGGTCACTAACCTTCAGTTACAACCCAAAATTCTGCAAGATGTGGTCTGCAAAAGGTCAAGTTCCTGTGAGCGACGCGAAATCGACTGCTTTGGAGTCTCTCGTACGTTTTCACAGACAACGTATGTTGGTCGACCGTTTACTGAACCAATGGACTCAAAATTTATCCATCACATTGGTAGGACGATTATGGCGACCGCAAAATGGACGAAGGGCGCGGTAGGTTGCCCGAATAGTCTGATGAAACAATTTTATTAATCCGTGTATGGTGATTTGGTAAAAGAAACTAAACAAATGACAACTAATTTGACAGATTCTACTCCAACAAGATGGTGGTTATCAATTGCCAAAGTTCGGAAGTCCCTTTTGGGAGGTCCTATGTATGAACTTTTCCTTGTCAACTGAAAGTTTATTGAATAAATCAGTTTCGAGTAGATAGTATACAACTGTGAAGGTTTTTTATGACTAAAATTTTTCAGATTTGAAAGTGGATGACTCGATACACATAAAAACTGTCAACAATAGAAACATCGACGATATCATATCTACAGGTCCATTGAAGACAGAAAACGGGACAATTAAGCAAAATCTGACATTCCAGGTGAGTACGAATAATTCAGAAGTTTACAGCCAGTTTACGACTGTAATGCCAAAGGCGGTTATTTGTTAATTTTTTATCCCTAAATGCGAAAAATTTCCTAACACGTAAGATTTTTGAGTTCTGAATTTTTTTAAAAAATTTCATGAACACTACATTCCAAATTTGCTTTCCCCCTTTTCCTTGACTTGTCCACAGAGAATGCTGAACTATTAGGGTCTAGATTACAACTATGGAGTTTACTAGCCTCTTAAACCAAAGTTACAATATTTAGGAACCGTAACCATGAGCTATCCTCGTTTTTTCACAATGCAGGATAACATGTGTGTTTGTGTAAATCCAAAAGGTGTGATGGAAATATTAGGATTTGCGCATAACCCGTACGAATGGCGTTCATTTATAGATTCGTCTGAAACACTGCTCCATAACGGTAACAAAACACCCTCTATTCCTCTTACACATGCAGTTGCCATGAAGGAAACACACGAAAGTATGACACTTATTCTAAATGCAATAAGTTATAATACGTATGAGTGACAAATATGTGGTGACCTATGACTTTTATAAAAGTCATAGGACTATTACTAGGTCTTCAGGGCGGATTTACGAAGTTTTGCTGTTTTCTTTGTCTTTGGAACATTAGGGCAACACAGAGCCATTATCAAGTAAAAGAATGGCCTCCGAGTAATAAATATATTCCAGGTCAAGCTAAAGTGAAGAATATACCTCTTAGGTATATTTGTTGGATCACAAATTAGAAAACTAGCAAGTGATCAACAGTTTGATCAAAAATTAAGTAATGTTGAATTAGCTGTGTGCAGTTCTTCCGATAGAATTGTTACGGAGTTTTTAGAGAAAAAGAAAGTAGAAAATTACGAAACGCTCGTAGAAGAACTACTTGAAAACTACTGCAGAATGGGATGTCGCATGTCTCTCAAAATTCATTTCTTGCACTCCCATTTGAATTTATTCTCAGAAAATTTGGGTGCTGTCAGTGACGAACAAGGGGAAAGGTTCCACCAAGACATACTGACAATAAAGCAACGTTACCAAGGCAGATGGGATGCAGCAGTGCAGTTATGCACAAAAGACTTCATTTGAAAGTTTTTCATGTGTATTGTGAATAAAGTCTGTTATCCTTAGATAATATTGTTTTTTTCTTATTTTGATCTTATATTTTCCTATAATATATGAACATATTTGTTGTTGAAGTCGTAATCAGGATGCTTTGAACTCTCATGTATAGTAATTATAATATTAATCGCAATATTTTTCTTATTTGTTGGCTAGTGATTGAATGTTACACTTCATTTCGTTTCTATTTCCAGAATGACATATATTTCAATGAATTGGAGATCGATAAACTCAGTTCAGTCGGATGGAATGAATTTGTGGAGGCTATTGTCTTCAAAAACGAAACTACCTTGAATATATCCGGTACCAAAAGATTCAAAAATGGTATTGAAGTTGACAAACTAGTCGACACGAAAAAAATTAATGAAATAGCTGTGAGCAATATTCTCACTAAAGAAGGATCTCAACATATTGATGGTCCTATAATTATTAATGGCAATGTAACATTCGATAATTCATCTCTTTTTGGAAGTATCAACAAAACACCCTTCGAGGACATTGAAGGTATTATGAATGTGTCCAAAGGCTTGTACACAGTGAAAGGTAAATGATTTTTTTTTTAACTTTCCGGCTTTATTCCTATAAAGAAGAGTTCAGGTTGAATTTCAAAAATTTTAGTTGTTTCACGTTTGATTTTTCCAAAGAGTTACTTTTTTTCTAGATGACATGGTTTTCAGAAGAGTCGCCCATATAAAACACTTGATTGTAAATGGAACAGTTAATGAGAAAATACCAGACCAAATTCTCAAAACAATTGTTCACAAAAACTCCGATGCCGTATTTGAAAACAAAATAATTTTCAAAAAACCTGTAAGATATATGTATATAATGCCTTAAAATTCAAATGAAATATATATATTTTCAGGTTAATATATCAGGAAAATTTGATTTAATATCCATGAATAATGAAAATTTCAACGACAAAATTTCAAACGTTGTTCTTACAACATCAGATGTGGATATAAGCGGGCGTGTATCATTTTCGAAACCAACTATCATTCAGAACCAAATGAGAGTTGATAACGATTTTGATAGCAATCTTCTATTCGGTTTGAATACCGATGATTGGTTGGATAAAGCGATATTTCTGGATAAAGGCTTTATCGGTGGTAAGTATCGCATGATGTGGTTATAATTTTTGAAATAACAATGTGGCTATTGCAGGAAACTTTTCTTTCGAAGAGATTTCTGTTAACGAAGAACTAATAACAGATTTCATTAATGATATTAATATGACCAACATAATACCTTTGAGATCAAATCAGAGTATTGATTATTTAGTAGTTGAAGAAGTAAGACCAACGAATGATATAAATGTTGGACATTGGGTGAATGGTTTCAAGTTACCACAAGCGTTTGAGAACACCATGATGGTAAGTCACCAAAACAATGTTAATTCTACTAGTCTCCGATAAAAAGACGTTGGATATATTGAAAGGTCATGAAACATAGGAATGAGTATTCCTAATTGTCATTTCATGTAACTCGTTCATAACTACGAGAGTGGCCCCAGAAATATCCGGCCCAACAAAGCAAACACAAAAATTTCGGATACGATGGATAACGATGACCAATTTTCTCCCTTTGCACAAATTCAGCGAAAATGTTTGCTGTTGATGACTGGCAAACAAATACCAAACAACGCAACGTCTTCAAACTTATATGAAACATATGCTTCATAGATTGTGAACTTTCTAATATAGGCCAGGTATTTCTGGGACCTTCCTGATACAACGAATAAATAAAAAAAGAAGAGCAATATCGAGAATCACCTGAAGTGAAACAAGTTATGTTCAAGTTTTGCATAAGAAATTTTGAACAATGAATTAATTATACCAAAGCAGTGAAGAATGAAGAATCTGTAAAACCGAATCGGCACCCGTTGCAACTGCGCATGATGAAGTAGATATAATTATACATAAAAATGAACGTCCCAGACATTTCGAAGTGTTTCAAAGTATTGCCACACTATTCCAATCTTGTATGAAATTAGGGCTGCTATAATTTTGATGGTACATTTATTGAATTATATTTATAAATTTAAATGAAAAGCCAGACAAAAATTATTGTTTTCAGTAACCGCCAGATGAGATAAAAAATTACAGGTCAGTGGAAGTAAGTCAAGAGCAAGTGAAGCGGCTTATTGGTACTTGCTGATTTTTGCCATGATTGGTTTTGAGATAACTACGTAACTTGGTGAATATGTTGTTTATTTTCCATGAATTCATCAATGAAAAAGTGATCTCTTTGAATGAAATATAGTACTAAAGTGATCAATTTGATAAAATGGTCTAAAAATTCTGTGAAAATTAATATTCAATGGTTCAAAAATATATCAACTGAATGAAATAGAAAGAACACTAGGTATTCGAGAAATTCAACATTTAATATGAGGCATTAATATCATGTTCTCAACTGGAGCGAAACGGATTCAGTAGGAATAGTTTTTTGCTTGAAAAGAATTAATGAAAAAATATCGAGGTGTAAAATCATATTCTACACCTAGAAGATGGAATTTTTGAAACTGTAGACAATTTTTTTTTGTATTTCGACATCAGATCATTGACATTTTTATAACAAACTTTGTGATATCCACCTTTCGGTTTTAACAGGCAAAATAATTTGAGTTATTTTATATTTACTATTGCTTTTGCATTTTTGAAAACAGTTTCGGTGAAGACAATAACTTCATCACTTGTGAAAGTAACAGTTTCACAAAAAACACAAGATGTTGAATGGAAGTTAAATATGTATCAGTTATATATGTTATTCAGTATCATGCATCAATATCATGTTTTGAACTGGGGCGAAACAAATTCATCAGGATTCAAGTTTTTCTTCTTCAGTGGAATTATTCAAATAACTCGAGATATTTGTTGTTGAATATTGTAACTCAAGTGAAGGAGGTGAAAGTTTTGAAATTGAAAACGAATTTTCCCATAAGAGAACTTAATTTTTGTAACAAACTCTGTAATATTTATTTGTCGATGATTACTCATAAAGCTATCTGAGAACTAAACCAAATAACAAATAACTAACACCATACTTAAAAAACGTGTCCTGTTCATGTTAACATAACCACAAATATTCATTATTTAATATTTTAACATACTACCAAAAATATTTCTACATAGTAGGTACAAATTTGAAAAAAGCTTTGGGCTCCATCATGGATATATCATTTTCGTTTGGACCTAAGCTCTTCAAAAATCCCATTGGCAACAAGTATGTTATAATTATCAACAAAATATTTTTCAACAGATTAAGGACAATGAATAATCCAAAATACTTCATCCGCAAACACAGGTATGCTTAAGCAACATATTCACCTAGTCACACTTTCACGCTTGTTTGTCACTAGCACCTTTCTGTAATTTTTAATCTCGTCTGGCGGTTACTAAAAACCATTATTTTTGTCTGGCTTACATTTATATTTTCAATGAATATACCATCAAAATTTCAGCTGCCCTAAAATCGTTTTTCAACATTTTTTTTTTCATTTTTATGTCTGGTCATATTTCCAAACGAATTGGAACGTCTGGCACTTTTATTTTTATAATAATTGATATAACTGTTTTACATTGTTATATTTAGGTTTCATACGAACTAAACTCTATCTGTTTTCGAGATAAAAAATAAATTGTGCTAAATATGGTCCAAAACATAGCCTTAATTGAAATTTAGTACATCAGTACTCTCAATTCATGAAAAGTTGATATTTTGATGATAGTTTGGACAAACTCGAAATACTCAAATAACAGCAAGAAATCGACTCCATATCATACAGGGCGTGCTAAAATTACTATTATTTCCATTGTGCATAAAAGTAGTCGAAATTTCATTTTTTCAAATGAAACCCCCTGTATATTACTCGATAAATTGAAAGATGGTGAAAAATGCTTCGAAATGATATACATGTCCCTATACCTAAATCGTCAAGTTTTCTTAATAAAGCCGTTTTGTGGAAAAATAGTTATTCACGTTTTACCTACAAGTGTTGAAAGTGACATTTCATTTTATGAGTGGGGATTATTGCAAAACGAGCGTCAGAAAGTGAAGCAAACTCACCAGCAAAATAAAATCACTTTTAACAAATGTAGCATACAATTTTTTTTGTATAACGTTACTGCTGATAATAAAAAAAATTATAGGGTCCATGGGATTTGAACACACGATCTTTGGATTACAAGGCATATGTTACAACTACATACGCCAACTCACGTTATTTTAAGGAGGATTATTGGTTAGTCATGAAGGACTTGCCTTTAGAGGAATATAGGAATTCGTGGTTTCAACTGGACGGAGCGCCAGCTCATTCCACCCAGGAAGTTTCCAGGAAACTTGACGAACTCTTCGAGACGATCGTTGGTTTAGGCGTTTAGGGCCGTGGGATTCGCCACCGAGATCACCCGATCTCACGCCACTTGACTTTTTTCATGGGGTGTTTTGAAAGAAAGGGTATACAGTACTCCAGTGCCTACCAAAGAAGAATTGCGACGGCGAATAGTGCGCAGTATTGAAGATCTGGATCCTCAGGAAATTGAAAAAGCAACCACAAGTCGCGTATAAAAAAACATTTTAAAGTGTTTAGAATGTGATGGACAACATTTTCAGCATTTATTGTGAAAATGTGATACTTTGTTTGCACTTTTGTTATTTTGAATCATCCTATTTTGTTATTGTCTATACTTTCACATGTTTTAGCCCACAAAATCTTACTTTTCACCTAGAAATTACTAATTTTTGGTACAGTTGTTCCCTGGAAACTTTGAGCCATAGTTAAGGAAATTATTTTGTAACCTTACAAACATCTTCTCGTTAATTGGTGTTAATTCAGGATACATTTGGTTGAATTTTTTACACGTTCTGACAATTATTTGATCACTTTGTTCATGTGTATAATAAATAATTTCATAAGAACTTCGTTTGAATAATCGATATTTGCATTCATTTTAGAAGATAATTCGAAACACCGTCGATAACTCTTTGTAAATTACTTATAAAAGTATCCGAACTGCTATAAGCTTGATAATTCCACTGCTACCTAAATCCAAATTCTAAAAAAAAAAAGTGTTTCTAGAAGAAGCGACTTTATTGAGAAAACTTGACGATTTAGGTATAGAGACATGATATATCATCTTAAAGCATTTTTCACCATCTTTCAATTTACCGAGTAATATATAGGGAGTTTCATTTCAAAAAATGAACTTTTAGCACGCCCTGTATGATATGGAGTCGATTTCTTGGTGTTATTTGAATATTTTGAGTTTATCCAAACTATCATCAAAGTATCAACTTTTCATGAATTGAGAGTACTGATGTACTTAATTTCAATTAAGGCTATGTTTTGGACCACAATTTATTTTTTATCTCGAAAACAGATAGAGATAGGTATAGGACATTATTAACAAAAAGTATTGAAATACCAGAGCGATTACAAAAATGTATTAATATACGGGGTGTTCCATTTAAAAAAATGAAGTTGCTAGGACTTTTTGATGGAAGTGGCGACGCTGCAATGCTGAAAATATTTTAGATCGATAGAACAGGTAAGGAAATGTGAGAGGTGGAATTTTCAGAAAAATCATGCTTTGCGTTTTCCAGAAACGTCTAACCTACCATCGACCGTGAGTCACGCTGTATTTCCTATTTACTTATATATCCTGCGTTTGGTATCTCCATAGCTTATTCATAAAATAATTACTAAAAAAGTGAAATCTTTGATTTCAGGGTAACGTGGATCAAGAAATTGAATCCGACATACTTTTTGAAAGTAATATTTTGGTTCGCCAGCTCCTCAGTTCTCCTACTATCAACGATAAGAACGCTTCCAAGATAGTCACCATCCACACCGATCAAAACCTGACATCACCCATCACTTTTAAATCGAAATGTAACTTGGAGTCGGATCTAGAAGTGCATGGATTGATCAATGACATAAATTTGAAGTTGTGGAAGAAGGATAAGCTCAGATTATTTTCTAATACAAGTCAGGATGTTATGGATGTATGGAACATCAGGAAAAACTTGTCTTTCATTAACGATGTAGCCGGTAATAGCTCGATAGGTGGGTTAGATTTGGCGAACCTTGCAAAAGAAGTTGATGAAAGAAGAGAATACAAGTACAAATTTGAAAAAGGAATAATCGTAAGTATTCAAATTGGTTCACAATTCATGAATACTGAAACTGAATAGAGCTCGAAGTTGAATGATTGGAAAAAGGGCAACATTATTGGGGTTCGACATTTTTAGAATGATACTGCATTGTGAGATATTCACCAACTTGTTCACAAGTTCATACTGTTAGCATTTTTACTGATGCCTGAAAAAAATACCAAATGAAACCTTCTTTCAGTCCTGATTTAATACTCATCGTTAGTTGTGTACCATGTCTTACACTCCTTACAAATCAACGCTGTTTGGTTTATCTACCTGCCAGGCGCTTTCCGAATCTGAACTGATGCAAATTCCTATTCGAAAGATAGTATCTCTAAGGAAAATGAAAGCAGCCATTTCAAAGCATACAAGAATATATATTTTGCATAGTTTCTTGTTTGAATTTTCTGGTTCACACTCTAAAAGGATTATTGAGAAATTTTCATTTCTCTTTTCATTATGATCTCCTACCACGTAGTAACGGCTACATCCATCAATTTAAGGATTATTAAGTTTCATAATTTCAAAAAAATAAATAATTGAAGTGATATGTAGGTATGTAGAAACACATTTGAAAGACCCTTCAGGTACAAGAATTTTTGTGTAGTCTTGTATATATTTTCCAGGTTTCTGTTTGTGTGAAAGTACAGAAGTGAATAAAAGTCATTCAAATGCGTATTTTTTCGTTCCAGTCCATGTAAAAAAAATTAGGATGGTTTCTGGAGATATCCGCCCTGCCTGTGGATATTTTTCACTAATAAATTTTAAAATAGTATGAAAGGGTTATATAAAGTACCAACTGATGCAATGATAAAACAAATGAATCGTTTGAAATGGAATTGTTCGAAACAGTTTTCAGTTTTTCTCAGACAAATCCAATTTGGCAAATTCAACATTTCCAAAGAGATCGAACTGATATTGCAATGAGCAAACAGTCTTGAAGTGAATCTTTCTGGAAGGTGAAGTGGATACTCATTGTTTGCATAGCAGATTTTCGAGACTATTATAGGTTCTGATAACAGATTCAAACATAATTTCCTGACCAATTATTCTTCTAACGTCTTTATTGATAACTCCTACTTTTTGTATTTAAGAAATGATCATTCTTGAGACTGGCAAAATTATCAACAAAGTTCATATTTCCATTATAATCGTCAGAAATTAGAAATCTCAGTACCTGAAATACCAGATAGTTGTTGGTTCACAGATGGATCAAAAACAACTTCCGGTTCTGGTGCAGGTGTTTTCAGTCGCAGACCCAGGACAGAGTTATCTACCTGCCTAGGAACTTATGCGACTGTATTTAAAGCGGAAATTTACGCTATTGAATTGTGTGCGGAGAGATTGGATAAATCCAACCTCACTCACAAGTCAATAAAAATATTCTCGGACAGTCAAGCGGCGTTGGAAGCTCTTGGCTCCCACCGAGCAACGTGTAAATTGGTAGCAAACTTCCAAAAAAGACTCTCCTCGATAGGAAGACTAAACAGATTGTCTCTGGTCTGGATTCCTGGCCATACTGGCCTGGAAGGCAATGAAGCTGCTGACTCTCTTGCAAAGGAGGGTGCTGCAAGCGGCTTCATTGGACCACAACCTGCCATTGGCATCGCTTTGGGCTTTGCCAATCAAACACTTAACACCTGGATGGCAAGAAGAGTTATGGACTTCTGACAGAATCTTTCAGGATTGGCTCACTTCAAGGCGTTTATTCACCCTTCGAGGATTGATTTCAAACAGTTGTTGGACTACAGTAGGGATGAACTACGATGTCTAACAGGCCTTCTTACAGGTCACTGTCATTTGAATCATCTCATGTAGATACTTGGACTGTCGAAAGACAGTGTGTGTCGCCTCTGCCTGGAAAAAGATGAAAGTGCAGAGCATATACTTTGTGCCTGCCCCGCTGGGAACTGAATCAGGTTCTTTGAGTTCGGCAGATCCGTACTCTCACCATCTGATCTCACCATCTGACCTGAAAGACAACTACCATATAAACTAATCGGCTTCGTTAAGGAGCTGGATTTATTTGACCGAGTGTGAATAGGTGTGAGCCACAATAAACCCTTATGGGTTGCGGTGGAGGGTCGAATAGACCCACTCACTTTAGACCTACCTACGTACCTACCTGAAATATCATTTATTGTTCCATCTTTCTCTGTCCGTTTCACTTGGATTGTTTCATCAGGGTTATGATAACTTGATAAGAATTCACGGTTTTTTATTTCCATTCAAAATATGTTATTCCATCATCACTATCTCACCAAACTTCTCACGGATCCACATGTAAATATATGACTTTGAGGTACAAAAGCAACTCATAGTATTGTTACCAAAACAGATACCCTTTTTCAGAAAAGTATTTTCAGAGATCGATGATGACTCTGGATGCCAATCCCTTTTCTTGAAATCTTTTTTCTTTCCGGTGTAAATGTGAAACCTTAGGTTATATGTGTTTTCGTCACAAATTATCCAGATTTTGGATCCCAGTATTTTGGGTTTTCCCTTCATATACTGCTCGATAGGCTTCTACCTTTGAACTTTCCTATAAACTCATCTACAACAATTTTGCGGTAGGGATTATAAGCCTCAGAAAATGCTTTTTTCAAATGAATTTTTACAAGTATCAAAGAAGTGTTGAAAGGAATATATGATGAAATTCATCTAAAGCGATTCAATGTCATCAGAATTTTAGGTTTTATCATAGTCATAAATGAATTCATGCCCAGGAGAAAACGAATATCGTCGAAATCAACTGATTGAAATCTTTGAACTGCATATGGGTTGGTGTAAAAATCAACATGAAAAACAAATTAAAAATGAATATGGTAGTTTCATCCAACAAATTTTCCACATTTGTCTGTTGACCCCGAATTTAATCTTCAGCGATTCAATTCCAATGTGAATCGCTGCTTTCGCACAGGCACCGCTTTTAGAGCGCCTTGAGGATTTTCTTGTACCGCTTTCGTTCTGTCTTCAAAAACAAAGTTTGAGAATTTTCAGTAACTTTTTTATTCCACACTGGTATTTCCGAACAAATTGTCATTGCGAGGTTTTTTCAGACCGTCTGAGTTTATGCTTGAACCTTGTAGAAACTAACCTTGCCAAAAGTATTAAATCATCAAATTTTTTATTTATCATTTATTGGACTGAAGTGATCGTCATCGGAATCATCAAAATCAGATAGAAAAAATTGACAAAACTCTTTTTCCCACGACCCTTCAATTTATTTTCGATGATCTGTGTTAGGAATCACACGTTAAAAGGTAAGACCTCGTTAGTCCTTAGCTCGCACAAGTTTATCAACTTCTGAGAGTTGTCGTTCGTATGGGGGCTGCAGATGATTAACGGAAAAACAGATTTTAAACAGAAACAGATATCGTGTAGGTATATTTCATTACTTCGGACTTGCATTGCCTTATATGATATACATTGATTTGAAATCCCTGAAATAATCTGTAAAAAATTGAAAGAGATTAGCTGAAAAATAACAATTATATTAAGCAAAAAAACTGAAATGACAACAAAAAAATAAAAAAATTGAACTATTTAACACGAGATGAAAATAAAAAAAAATCATCAACCAGAAATGAATAATTGAAAATTAAATGATCCCAAGTCAAGTTACTTCACGACGTTTCGATTGTTAGTATCCACAGTCGTCTTCAGGTGATAACTGGACCTATTTCTCCAATATCTGACTATTTATAGGTCATTCGAGTGCTTTCACTTATCGCCTCTTCCCTCTCTCCGCTTCATCAGTTTCAGCAGTAGCTGACCGTTTGACGGGAGTTTCCATAAGTTGCGTATCTCTAAGCTAGCTTGGCTGAATACGTTGTTGGACAATATTTATGCGGCTTCTTTGAATTTTCTCCTGAACCAGTATTCCTCTCTCTCTCGAGAACTTGCTTTGTATTACAGAGCCCGAAAGCACGGTTTACTAGGATCTTGATTATTTCTCCCTTAGTCGATTGATGGTGGTTGGATTCCTGGTTCAGATACTGTCCCGTGTGAGTGGGTTTTCCGTATACAGACGTTTCCCACTTTGTGTCGGTCCTCTTCACCAATACGTTTAAGAATGGCAATTCTTTGTGGACTTCCTTCTCCATTGTGAAAATGGTGGAAGGACTTACGTTGTTGATGTGCTTCAGGAAGGTGTCTAGTTCTGCATACCTATGGTTCCATATTATGAAGGTATCGTCCACGTATCTCAACCAGACTTGGGGCTTCTTGTGGGCTTCTTCAATGGTCAGAGTTTAAAACCACTGCATATATATGTTGGCTGTAACCGATGAAAGTGGCGATCCCATTGGCATTCCCTCATCTTGCGTAAATAATTCATCCTTCAGTTGGAAATAGCAGTTTCGTACACAGCATCCTAGTAATTGAATGATTACAATGAGTATCGGTAAGTTTGTTCTACCTTTCAGGTCCTCGTCTTCGGATGGCTTCCTCTGTATGATTTGAAGTGCTTTTTCGACAGGAACGTTGGTGTAGAGGCTTTCCACGTCGAAACTGATCAGTTGATCCTGCTCTTTAACGTCGATTGCCCCTAGTAGTTCGACAAAATGCCTTGAATTTTTCACAAAAGATGATGTTTTTCCTTGCAGTGGATTAATTATTGGTAGTAGTTTTGAGTGACTGAATCTCTGTAGCTAATGATCGGTCTGAGTGGAACATCCTTCTTGTGGATTTTGAGTAGTTCATACGAGTAAGGGGGCTTACTGTGGTGCGGTGTTAGCGATGATCTCTTTTTTTCCGACAAATAGACTTGGTGTTTTTTCAAAGTCTAGTACAACTTCCTTTCAATGGATGCAGTAGGGTCCCTTCCGATCTTCGTGTATTTTCCTTTCGTAAGCAACTCTTAAATCTTCTGTTCGTAGAGATCAGTATCCATCACAACAGTAGCGTTTCCTTTATCTGCAGGTAAGATCTTGATGGTGTTGTCTCTATGTAGCCCGTTCATTTTCCATTTCATGTTAATTTTTTTTTTCATCTCGTGTTAATAGTTCAATTTTTGATTTTTTGGTTATTGTTTGTTTTTTATTTCATTGTTATTTTAGTTTTTTTGTTTGATGAAATTGTTATTTTTCAACTAATCTCTTTTTAATTTTTTACAGATTCTTTCAGGGATTTCGAATCAATTTATATCATATTAGACAATGGAAGTCCGAACTAATGGAATGCACCACGGAACATTGTCAACAACCTTCAAGCATCTTGTAGGTAGTTCTATTTCTGTCAAATCTCTGGGTTTTACTACAATCGGGAACCGTGCAAATTGAAATAGTAATGAATATTTTTAAATTCATTTCAGTACGGTGGACAATACCACTCACCTCAAATTAAATATCAATACTTCCTTCAATTGTTTTTTTTGTATAATATGGTAACAAAATAAATCAGATTTAATATATGTCATTTTCCAGAATAAACTGGTAAAGAATATAATTTTGTGTTGCCAAATTTATTCATTTCGGTAAGTCCATCTGCCGAGTGATAGCGCAACTAATTTACATAATTTTCTTTGTATACTACACCATGCATGTGAACACTAATAACGCATTGAAGTGGTCAGCAATATTGACGACCATGGTTCTGATGTATAATTTTCAATAGCCACTGTATCTAACCACCAAGCTTCAAGAAGTTAGGGGAAACATGAATCGATATGGAGAAAACAGTGATTGTCCTGTTCATTGCACTGTAATTTACTTTTCTTGCGATTTTCAAATGTTATTGACTTCCAAACCCACCTATTGATTGATTGATTTCATGTTTCGTTGAATGGACCAAACCAGACAAGAGTTGGAGTATACTTTACCATACATGAATCCATTCAGCACAGTTCTCGAGGGTCTTTGGCCTTCGACCAGCTCCATAATCATAGACATTGTTTCAGTCACCAAATATCGAAATATTAGATAACCAAAATGTTCCAACTGTATTGGATTTTTTGTTGTTACCAACTCCTTGATCATTTTATTCCAATTTTCCTCATAGAAAGGAATACAGAATTTCAATTTCCTATCATAAATATCAATTTTTCAGGATGACTATACCAACATTTGTACCGACGTCACTTACTTATACGAAAAAACTAAGTCTCAGATATATAAGTTCAAGTATTTTGATGATTTTCAACAACTCTCCTTCCAAAACAATATCAAACACGTTTTCTACTTCGAGTATCAGAACTCTAATTATCTCCTTGTCAATGAAAACAACTGTATTTCTCATGTGTTTGCATTCAATGGTACAGTTTTCCACCCATCGATAGAGAACATTGGAACAGGCTCAATAGAACAAGTGGTGCCTGTTTATGATGAAAATGATATCTATCTTGTCATACGTGGGGTTGAAGAAGGAAAATGTAACGTAGTTGGTACCAACATATGGAAGTTCACCGATAAAAACCTGGATGTAAGTTTTGTGATATTTTAAGGATCTCACATAATTGCACTTCATAATTTTCAGATGGTGATGAATATGGAAAGTCAAATACTTCTTCAAGAGTCACTGATACCAGCCACTTTCTATGCCATTAACGCAGATGGCGTTATTGAATACAAAGTGAAGAGAAACTTTGCAGGTTATAAGAAATATAGGAAATGGGATATTATTGAAGGTAATTTCAGTAATTCTGAAATCAAACCCTGAAAATTCAAAACTTTTGTTTCCAGAAAATGTTGCGTTCATGCCTAGAGGCTTGAAAACCGGATTAGCCTTGCGGACAGGAAGCAAAATTATCTACCTAGACCAGTCAGATCCCATAGTAGAAGATGAAGTAGACAATAATATTGAAGTTACTATAAGAGGTTCCGAGTATAATTACAGCGAAGTATTTTGTGTTCGACTATTGTATTTCTAGGTGAATTCAGAAGTGTCGATAATGAATTTATACCCGGGAAAAATGGAAGCGACTTGGTTGTTATGAACGTTGGAATGAAAAGTGCAAGAAAAAATCTTTTGGCCATCGCAACTCACGAAGAAACTATTATAAAAGCTCGTTTGGATTTCGTCAAGGTATACTTACTTCCGTGAATTTTGTACTAGAGCATATAAATATTCAAGTCTCTTTAGATTATTCAAAGTGGAATTTATTTTAAGAAAGACAACAACTCATATGAAGATAAACCAATATATGTGTAGGTCAAATTAAATGATATAGAATCTGTCACGATAACTACAAAAATGATCCATTATCATGAATTTTCTGACAATTTTGAATTAAAAAGGTGATAGTGAAGGACACTTTTTTGACGAATTCACTTGATCTTCTTCACCTTTTGTAAACATACTAGTAAACGTTCGTAGGTAAACAATTTAGTTTTATGCCATATATATGAAATATATGTGTCGGAAAACATATATTTTCAACGTTTTTTGACATGGATAACTAATGTTTGAGCCCTGATGATGGATTCAATAAAGTCCGAAACGTTGGCATAAAACTAAATTGTTCATCTACGAACATTTTTAAGCCCTTTCAAAAAAAAGAAAAAAAAGCACATGAAAATATTTTGGATCACCAAACCAGGCAAAGTTAATACTAGTAAACATGGCAATAAAAAAATCAAAACGCTGTTGCGATACAACTGCCGCAATCCATTTTCAATTATTGCAACACACTTGCATACCTATTTCGGGATGCAAGTGTGCACTCGTCAGTGCAAGGTAGTGTCTATCATCAACATGAAGTCGATGATTTCCGATAAATGAAAATAGAATCCCTCCAGAGTACCATTCCTCGAACTAGGCTGAAGCGGACAACAAACAACATATTTGTCATCGCCCAATCTGCCTGTGAACGAGGTAACCGACCGCATATCAGAAATTTGCCCAATCACAATGTTGTCCTTGATAATATTGAAACAATTTTCACAAACATTTTTTTGATAAAACCGTAGCTTTCTCGGTAGAAATGAATATTACAAACTGGCCTACAATTCTTATATACAACAGAAGTAGGTTCCTAAGTTGATCGGCTAATAGTAACTGAAATGACAGGTAGAATTGTAAACCAATCACATTCTCAATTCTTGGACAGCAGGTAATAGGTAGAATTTGTAAAACAATTACAATCTCAGTTCTAGGACAGTAGGTTAATTTTTGAATATTATTAAAATTGTTGGCATTATGAAAAAATGTTAAGCAATGTTGAGTGGTCAACCTCCTGTTGGTCGTACAACTGAGAACGAGAACGTTCACCTTTGTTGATTTCCAGAGATGCCAGCAGTTTCAACTTCTGTCCCTCATCCTCAACATGGAGTATGTCGTACATTGTTTTAAAATCGTGACTGTTTTCCAAAAGGTGACCCGTATATGTGAAATTTCTCTTCTTCAGTTCAAAACTACTTTTATGTTCGGAGATTCTCATTTTCAAATTTCCATATACACTTTAGGGCATGATCCATCTGATTTGTTATCCTTGCCAATGAGTGACTTATTTTTCTATATATGTTTACCTGAGGAGTTACCAGTTTTATGTACTATGTTAATATTCAGTTTATTTAGTAGTCTTTTTATTTTACCTGATGTTTTTCCGGTATATGTGAGTGTTTTGAAAGTGCTAGTATTATACTAGGGTATATCTGATCAATAGCTTGTTTGAAAAGTTTTTCATCAAGGATGTGATGAATTATATTCGGGTTGAAGTTGTTATTCACTGCAACTTATTTTATCATATTTAATTCCTCATTAAAATTCTATGTGGACATTTGTATATTAATGAGTCTATGGATCATACTGTGATAGTGGGTGATTAGAATAGTTGTTTATAGTTGAGTCTGTATGGGTTGATTTGTGGTGAATTGTGAAATCGTGTTTGTTGCTAATTTTTGTAATTTGTAGAAATTTCATCGAATTATTAATTTCTAGGCCTATTATGAATTTATATTCCCAAGAATAGAGTGCATGTATTGAAAAATGACTGCAATCTTCTATGTGTTCTTGTGAAACAAGCAATCACATCGTCAACATACCAATAACAGTAAATGAAATTTAGGAAGTGGAAAAATGAAATGTTGCAGTGCCTACTATTGTTGTTTATGAGAATTGTAACTCACCTTATAATGTTAATTTCTACCGAGGAAGCTACGATGTTAGCGAAAAGCTTCTAGAAATAATTTTTAACATAGATAGTGTTATTGATTTTCATCAAGTAACGGGTCAGTTCATTATATATACAAAGTGTAATTTCCAAAAGTTTCAATAATAGGCAATTTGCCATCAAGAAAATAAAATCATCTTTTGAAAGATTATTGAGACATGAAACAAAATCTCTTTCCATTTGGTAATTCAACTAATACTATATAAAAAATCATTGATTGAGACAAACATTTTGTAAAATGAGAAAAGAGATTTTTCAGCTTCTCCTAGTTGTCCAACATTTTACAAAAACATTCAACCGTCTGACTGCCATTTCAATTATAGATATATCGAGATGGCATAAAAGGAGAGCTCTTCGACAAAGTGCCGACTTATAAAGCTTCCTCCTTACTATCTATAGAGTTCGACCAAGGCGAAACATTATTGGTTTTTCTGGAGAACAAAAGATTACTGCGAGTCTACGAATATAAAGGTAAAAAAACACTGCCAATTAACAGTTTGAATATAGTGAAATAATAATTTACGGACTGATTGTAAACGAACCATTTATTCTGATTTATTTCTCTCTTGTTGTTTTAAACAATATACAGGGTGAAACAATGAGAATGGAACAAAGGGTGGTTTGAAGAAATCGCTCGAACCCATTGGCTACTAATTTGAAGGAGAAATCTTTTGAGCTATTTCTCAACTTTGTAACTTCCATCCCCTCGGCGGGGTGGAAGATGAATTTGATTCAATGGATATCGAGAAAAACTTAGGTAATGACAGATTAACCAGAAGAAATTCACTTTTCATCAATTTTCAAACAGCATTTTTGTGAAAAAATAGTCATTTTTGATAAACACAGCCCTTCGTCGAGTTTTCTGTTTCAAAGCATAAGGTTTGTATTAATGAAAATTACGAAAAAATGTCAATTTTTTATTTTTCAATATACGAGGAATTCGATCAGTTATTTCAATTTATGCGAATCAACATGCTTTTCGTAAAATCACCGGAAAATATATTATCCAATCTCTAAATGTTTTTCATTTTAAATAGAATGAAAGTGCTGTAGGAATTTCAAATCTTTCCCCTTCGTTCAAAATGTTTTAAAATTTTGCAAAAAGGCGTTGACATAAATCACACTGGTTGAGTTTTGTAAATTCTAGTCTGTTAGCGACCCTCCAAAAAATCTAGCGGACCCAAATAGGGTATCATTGCGGACAACTCCACCGATACCGATTCATCATATTGAAATGTCAAGTCATTTTTATTGTGAGGGTAATTACGTTAAAAGCTGTCTCTCTGTGTCAACGTCAAGAGTGCAATGAATGGAATTTCACTTCCATTTTCAAGATATATGATATGATACAAGAAGATGCCGTGCTAGCTACGTAAAGCACAATTAGTCGTGGAAGTGAACAATATATTCTCTTTATAACGTTTTTATTGATATATACTGCATCAGATTTAAAAAAAATATTACCAGTTAGAAAAACAGTCGACCATTTAACACTTATCCCGATTCCTATTCCAAATTTAAGAGTTGATGCGCACCTCATTGGGAAAGTAGAGGTGACAAGGTTGAAAATACGCTTGTAGGGTCATCTCTAACAACGAAAATCTATTCATACCAGTAAATTTTTCCTCAAAACGCCAACTACGAGAAATTGGTCTTGTTTCGTTTTCATTTTCCCACCCTGTATGTATAACTCTCCGGAAAATTATTATTCAATTTGTTTTTTGAAAGTTGTTATGATTCGAACTCAGAATATAAAAAGGTTTTCCCTGATTATTTATTTTTTTAGGAATTGAAGGTTTCAAACACAGAACGTCTGTGAAGCTTCCAGGTTCTAAACTTTTTCAAATGACGTTGCCGATTGATTCTTTCACAAATACAAGAAAAACTATTGGAGTGATATATAAAAACAAAATTCGTGTCCTAGAAGCCGTGATGGATGGTAACTTCATAAAAGAAGATTTGAAATGTGGTTTGTGATGAATAATGTTACGAATTTTATATTTAATTTTTTTAAATTTTTTATTTATATTCATTGAAATGTAATTAAAACGAAGTTGAAATCAGTGATCTATTTTATTGAGCAAACATAACATTTGTTTCAACAAATTTACTTCTATAAAAATTGTAAATTTCCTTATCCACCTCTACATCACCTGTCAGTGTGATGGTTTTCATAAATTCTCTAAACTCAAATGTATCAGTTTCTTGAAAATAGTAATTTTGACAATCAGTAGTTGATTGGTGATTTTTAGTTGTTCCTAAGTCAGATGTAACCACAGTTTCATCATTACATTCACTTGACGGACCGTCTTTATAAGCTTCCCATTTGTCCAAAAGGTTAATGGTACTCTCACAGGTACCATGAGTCCTTTGAACGCTTGCTTCTATTTCATGATATTTGGTTTTTGTTGGATATAAACCAGTTTCAGTACTTGTTCCATTGCAAGGACATGCTTGATCTGAATATGTGTGTCCTGATACGTTGTTGGTAGAACTTTGTGATTCTGGTTGAAGATAACGGTACTCGTACTCACAATGATCATTTGGTACAGCATAATACTTCTTTCCACCTGTATGAGGAGCATTACACGAAGTGTACACTCTATTATTCTCATTTTCAGATGGAGTACAGAAACAAGAAATAGCTGTTTGTGAAGAAATAATGCCACATTCGTTTGTGTATATACCAGGGAATATTTCTGGTTCAGTGACAATCATATTCTCTTTTAAAGAGGTCCTACAAGTTGATAGTACACAACTCGTTTCGTTCCGTTTCTCGGGGACTACACAAGTGCAATTTCCAGCTGGTGACAGGGAAAGATCTGGAGAAACATACATACTTATTCTTGTTCCTCCATTTCTAAACATATTTTTTTCCACAGAAGATTCAGGAGACAGTGAACAAATACTATTATCACTACAACATTGTCCACAGCTGTTGTTGTGAACATTATTCAGTTTGCCACATAATTCTCTGTTGGGACGATTTCCAGAGGATTTTGCCATATATTCCTCAAGACCTTTCTCCTCCAGAAATACCTGACTGCAATTTTCGAATGTCATTGAAGTTGTATGACTTTCATTACCAAATGGTCCATTATCGGATCTACAGATACAACTTTTAGAAAGGTTTTGCGGCTTCAAACAGTGATTTGTGATTCTGGAGAATGAGTGGTTTTGTAGATCATACTCAATTTTGTTCATGCAGTGCGGGTGATAGTTCTCATTATTCTTGTGACAGCGTCTGTTCAACTTATATTCTTCAAGCCAACGTCTGTATTGCTGCTCGGTTTTAATTTCTGTTTGCTTCAGTCCCGATTCAAGGTGGAGAGTTTCCTTCTGGATGTCTTTTAGATCAGTTAGAGCTCTTCTGTAGATGTTTTGTTGCTGTTCCAATTCTGTGATCAGGTGACTTCGTTGTGAAGCATCGATACAGTTTTCTAAAGCCTCTCTCACACATGATATATTTTTTTGACATTGCTTTATCGTCTCCGCAAGAAGTTTTGCCATTTCCAGTTTGTTTTCCAGAGCCCTTCGATAGAAGTTCAGGGTGTTGGAATTTTTTGGATTTGACAAATATAATTTCAGTAGGACTTCTTCATTATCATCAGTGATACATGTTTGCCGTTGTTCACAATCAGTAAAAGGAGGTTTGGTATCCATATCTGATTGAAAACCGGTTTCATGGCGTGAATTCAAATTAACAGGATGTTCTGGAATTTTATCTATGATATTTTTCAAAGTATCTGTGGAAATGTTAAGGATCGAACTAGAAAATTTTATATTGAAATTATTCAATTAAATTTTAAAAAAATTAGTATACATCAATTTGCTATCCATGACTTTCGAAGAGATGGATGTATTACATTTGTTACACTGAACATTTCAGCAAATGCTTCAGATATATTTTAAAAACTCCGCCGTTTCTGAAGCGAGTAAAAAAGGGAAGTTTGAAAAAAACTCTTCAAAGACTTGACTGATATGCCGAAAAATGTTACCGAGTAATATGTATATTTGAATGAAAGCATACCAATCTCCTTATCATTTCTCAGTGCATCACTCTTCAATTTTTGAACTTCTGCAGTACTTTTTTCCAGTTTCAGCTTGATATCTTCATATTTCTTTTTTTGTAAAATGAATTCTTTCTTCAATAAATTGAAACAGAATTGTATTTGCGTAAAATCGGGTTTATCAATTTTCAATTCTTCATCTTCCTTAATGTTCCGTAAATATGTTTCAACTTCTAATCGACAATGTTCCTTACGATCTTTTGTCATTTCGTTGATGTTCTGAAAATGAAGTGAGATGAAACTCAAAATCGACTTACAAAAGTACTAACCTTTAAACTCTTTAGAGAAGATAGTTGTTCACTCAGTTCTTCAATTTTGCTCTTCAAGAAAGATATTTCATGTTGCGGGTCAGAAATTTCATTGATAACAGGCTCGGTTGTTATTAAAGACACTCTTTGGGCAAATTTACAGGTACTGATTGTTTCCTGAAACGATGAAAACTTCTAAAAATTTTTATTGAATGGGTTTCACAGAAAACTAAATGAATGATAGATGGATAGATAGATACATTTATTTCAACAGAGTATTTCATAATTCTTCACAGTAGTGGCATAATATTTCTGTCTGAGAAATACGAACATATGAATCTAAAAGTGAAATATTCAAAATGAATAGCTCCAAGTTTCAAACACGATTACAAACACTTCAAATGTGCGTCATACTGCGCATGATTATTGAAACACATATATACATGCATAGCGCGATTTTGAATAAAATTTTATTCATAAATTTCCACAGCCCAGAAAATATTCATCAGTATTGTAAGACTCCAGGTTACATAAAAGTGCTCTCACAGATTTCAGAAGTCTGTTAGCAACGACAATATCTATGTTTTTTGGAAGGTTATTATAATACAATTACATTCCACTGTAGTCAGTGCTACGTTCATATAGGGATTTTGCATGGATGGGATATGAGAAGTCTTTTTTTCGTCTTGTCTCGAAAATATGCGTTAGTCACAGGTAGACAGCTGTTTCAGCCTATTGGGCATCGTCAGTACCAGGCAGGCGGTCCTCGATTGAAGACACTTATGTTTCGCTTGCGTTTACGGAGCTATTTTCATCAAGTAATTTCTTGTTTTTTCTCATTTTGTCTTCAATCGAGGACCGCCTGCCCGGTACTGACGATGCCCAATAGGCTGAAACAGCTGGCTACCGGTGGCTCTTAAATTGAAATCAAAATGGGAATGATCAAAATGTACTTATCTATTTATTTTTTTGATTTTCATGGAATTCTTTTTCAACAGCTTGGCTGCATTAACCTTTCTAGATTTCATATCATTTCTACAAACATGTCGATGGCATTTCAGGTTAGCTTCCCAAATTTCTGCTACTGCAGTTGTCGGTTGATTGGTCAAACCACCAACACTGACATAAAAACTAGGCAAGTTGACTTGGGTGTCACACCAATAGGTGGTTCCACTTATGTTTCGCTTGCGCTTACACAGCTATTTTTATCAAGTACTTTCTTGGTTTTTGTCATTTTGTCTTCAGTGGAGGACCGCCTACCCGGTACTGACGATGCCCAATAGGCTGAAACAGCTGTCTACCGGTGGCTCTTCAATTGAAATCAATATGGAAATGTTGAATCCTTAGCTCGCACAAGTTTCGACTTCTGAGGGTTGTAGTTCGTAGGGGTGCGACAGCTGATTAACGGAAAAACAGATATTAAAGATAATTCTGATATTTATTTTTGACATAGGGAAACTCTATTCAACCCATGACTTGAGCCCCAGATGATTATCCTTAGTCTCATAGCAGAGTGAAAATTTGCACAATGTATTGTAATTAGTGCTTCAACATCCAAATTTCTTTTAGAACTCTCATGGCGTATGTTACCGAGGATAATTTAAGGCAAAAGTTGTCTAGTCCAACTCAAAGCGTCATCGCAATGTATATGCCTAGAAACTTCACTGAAGTGTTGCAAATGATTTTTTCATTGCCCATAATTATGTTTTGTACTGCCATTGATTTTGAACATGATACAGTTTGTTTTTCCATCGTTCAGAACTAACTTATTCTCTAGAAATTGATCTTTGGATTGTTCTATTATTTTGCTAAACTTCTTCATAATATCAGGTGGGTTAAGAATTTCACAAATCGACTGACCATTGCTATTTCAAAAATGTTTGAAGTACATATTTATTAAAAGACAAGTTGGAAATGTCACTATCGCTATTTTCAGTTCATCTGGAAAAACTCCTTCCTTGCATGGATTATCGTATTGAAATTGTACGGTTTGGGATGTACCTGTCACTTCTTTAATAACCTGCTACATCGTTTTGGATTTATTATCCGACTCAACAATTTTATTTCTAGTCATATTCTGCTGATTCCAAGTGATTGATGTAATTCCTCTTTATCTCCTTACATATGTTTTTATAATCTGGATCAATTTCAGAAATGGATTGATGAAAGATAAGTTGGTCTCCTTAATTTTGATGTTTATGCGTTTTTGTAAACTGCAGATGCAGAATGTAATATTGAAAACGAAAAGCATGAACAGTTAGGAGGTTCTATGTAGTTTTGTTAGTTTCCTATACCTGAATATTCCTTTGGGATATTGCAAGTGTCGCCAACATTGCAGTAAGGCAGTTTCCACTAAGTGAATCTCTCAATATGAATGTCATGATGCTGTTTCTGTATGGTATGTGGGATCTTTTAGATTCCGATAGAGCCAGCATGACTTGTTGGAGGAAATGAAGAGACAAATTAATGTGTTTGGCTTCATGTAGAGCCAGTCCGGTTGTCAGAGATTTTGAAACTCGTTCCGATCTGAAAAAATGTTCAAACATTCAAATTGAAAAAAAAGTAACAATCGTTTAAAATTCATGTTACTTATGATTGAATTACGTTCAGGATTATATAACTTTATAAAAGGTTTCGAAAATGTGCATTGATTGTTCGAAACAAATATACAACATTCATCTGTTGTTAAACAATATATTGGATTTCTTTTCAAATAGTTTTGTCGATAGAAATGAAAGGTAAACGTGGTCCCAACCGCGATCTGTTGCGAACCCAAATTAGATGTCAATTGCTGAATAAGAAATCGTTTTCTGTTTCTCACTGTAGCGTCCACTGTGAGCCATAGCTCAAATATAATTTTTGGTGTTATACTGTGAAATGGTAGTGAGAGGTGAGCTGACGTTCTGCAACTTTTTCGGAAAATTAACTGAAACAACTTACCCAGCAAGGTCTACAAGATGCAGTTTCGAAGATCTCAATTTATTTGTTGCAGAACTGCGATGAGTAATGTATATAGTGAATATACAATGCGATCTTGACGAATACTCATTCATTGGGGTCTCGGCGATAGTTCTGTTAAGCAAACAAATCATTTAAGGTAACATGTGAGATATTTTACTGAAAAAAACGATTATTGATAGTTTTTAAATTCAACCGTGGAAAACTGGAGTTATTGTTCTTCATTCATAGAATCTTTTTCATACATTGGTGACATACTGAAAATGATGGTTCCTATATGATCCAGATATATAATGGATCAAAATTCATCTTTGATTTGAGTAAAATATCCATTTTTGATTTTTCATAATGCTATAGGGAGATCCTCCTGAAAATTTTTGCGAATTTGAGGATTTAGTCGTAACATATTTTTCGTCACTGATTTCTTATGTTTCTTAGCAGAGAGACTACGCAGTTTATCATTCGAAGCAAAAACTACATGAATTTGTGAATTATTTGGTCTGTAAACTGCTTTAGTTTCGTTAACTTTAGCAGAAAAATTTGTCAACTTTTCTAGAGAATTATCATGTTTTCATAATGTACATGTCCAGATTCTATGAAAAATTCATGAAAGATACTGTTACTTCATTTTTTCTTCAACCTTTGGAAATATATCAGAGGTCAGTTTTTGCTGCGAATACTCGAATACTGGAATATTTGGCTGCCATAACCTCAAAAATCCTCTCAGTATTGAGGTCAATGTGGTATTTTATATATTTTGTTTGATGAAGTTCTTATCGTCGTTTCTCAATTGATAGTCATTAGAACAGTTCTGTAGGTACCGAAATCCTTATGGTCTTCATATTGACATCCTTCCTTTTAAAAACATCAGCTTTTTAATTGCCTTTGACTTTTTTTACCTGATACCTGAGCGTCCATATTAAGTTACGGTCCTGGACAAATTTCTTTGTTGACAAAACTCAATAATAGTCCTCTGAGTTTCCTTCTGAAATACGTCCCATATTAGAGGTATGCCCAGCCCCACTTTTTAAGAGGACAAGCCTGGAACACAAAATGAAATTGTTTAATGTTTTCTTTATCACTTCATGGCACACATTTTTGCTTTGGAGGTGGTGATTGAAATTGATTTCAAGGGATTTGTCACATTGAATGTTGGCCTCTTGACTCACACACTAGCATTTTCATCTTTTTAGGATCCGTCAGTACCCGAGTCTCTTCCCTGTTATATCTAGGTTGTTGGTTTTGTCATGAATTCCAGCAAAGTTGTTCTACCAAAAAGCTACAAAAGTGGCTACAACAATATAAGCATATCTGCAAATCCAATGCAGTCAAAATTAGCGTAATAACCCCGTGCCCTTGCCTTAGACGTGAACTGGGTGTAGTCATATTTCTCAGGTTCAGGTTAAGTTATACGTTTTTACGCCGTACTACCGTATTCGAAAGTGTAACAAACCTATTTGTATCTCCCAGAAAAAGCAGTCTCATGGCATCTTGCTCAGTTGTGACTGGCAGAACACTCAAATTGCGGATATGCGCTTCTCCTTTTCTATCTTCCAGTAGAGCGATCTTTCTGAAATGAAAGAAATAGAAATATGGTTGAGACAGTTATTCATTTATTCGTGTATCGATGTGGTGAATTGTATATGAGCTATAACAGTGAGAAAAGAGGTCATATACAACTCCACACTGTAGGGAGATATAGTGTGAGAGTTCAGAAGAACTCTTCTTATGTTAGCAGGTTCAAAATGGAAAATGTTCACAATATCCTGAACAATCACACAGCTTTAACGTCAATGACAACTAAAAAAACACTTCTTCCCGGCTAATACCACGACGAATATTGGATTACATCAGACAGACACTAATGCAAAATACCCCATGGAGGATAGTTTTGCATACGCTTCTTGTTCATTTTAGAGCAGAACAACGCTGAAAGCAATAGAGTAGATCACCTAAAGATCGGTTTCGAGGTACTACCTCTTATCAATGCAGGGAAGATCCGACCAGAATTCACTGAGTAAGTTAGCTGGGAAACATGAATGTTCTGAAATTTCATTTCGAAATATTAACTTTTTTATAGATATGTACTTATATTTCCTCGATAGAGCCTTCAGACTTATGTTTATTTATGTTGGTCTTCACGTATTTGGTACAAAGGCAAAAAGCATATCATGTACATGATTGCAATAGCATGCAGCAGCGCAATAGCAGCGAGCATGCGATCTAGGTATATGCAGGTGCTACCAAGTAGAACAATCAGTGTGAGAGGATTGGAACCGTTTGAGTATTACATAAGCAGAAATTCAATCGTTCCAAACCCCCTTCTCTCTATCAACAGAAGTAAAAAAAGCTTTTACCACCTTCCTATGCTCACGTAAGTAGTTGTAGATATGATTTTGATTTGTCTATGTTAGATGTGTTGAAATCTGTGTTCTCGTTAACCAGCACAACACAAGTAAAAACTTGTGTCGGCTAAAAACGAACGAGGTCTTATCTTTTAACGTGCAATTTCTAGCACGGGAATAATATACTAAACTAGTTCAAAGATAGAAAAAGTTGATCAATGATAAATAACTATCAGCTCAGAACCAGTTGAACCCAATTATAAAGACCGGATAGATTCAGACAAGTGAATAACGCGAGAGACTACCACTTCTTCAGTTTTTTCTCAAAACAACGCATCATGAAAGCAAATAAGGAACAGGATTATTTTGGTAAATCTCCTAACATTCATTTCAGTTTTGAGAATAGCCATGTAAGCTTGCCTTTTATGAACAAATCAGCATTCACCAAAAGAAATAAATCAAAAAATAAGTGAATTGAAGTCTTTTTCTTTTCACATATAGTCAGTGGGCCAGTGGGCCAGTCTCATCTCCCTCTACTGTAAGAAAATGGGCTGACGCCTATCAGAAAACAACTACTTCCCTGGCTATCCGACCGGTGTCATTACAGGATTCTTCACTAAAGTTATTCCTGCATATGCTGTTGGCGATACAGACTGATTTTGGGCTGTTTGGCACTCATCAGTGCCCAATTCCCGTATAAGGAAAGACAACTTTTCACACTTTTCTTTCCTTATACGTGAAATTGTACAAATTTCGAATATGCAGTTGGTTACCTCGTTCACAGGCAGATGAGGCGATGACAAACCTGTTGTTTGTTTTCCACTTCAGCCATGTTCGAGAAATGGTACTCTGAACGAATTCGATTTTCAATCATCGGAAATCATGGACTTTATGTTGATGATATGCACTACCTTGCACTGAAGAGTGGCCAAACAGCACGAAACCGGTCTACAAGTGTGTTTCAATGATTGAAAATCTATTGCGGCAGTTGTATCGCCAACAGCATATACAGGAATTACTTCAGTGAAGAATCCTGCACTGACACCTGTCGGATATAATCCAACGCCCTTCATGGTATTAGCCAGGGGAGTACTTGTTTTCTGATAGGTGTTAGTCCATTATCCTACAGCGTAGGAAGTTGAGACTGCCCTGAACGAATTGTTCTTTCAGATCATTCAAAGTCTTTTTTCTCCCGTGAATAAAACAATCAATTCTTAACCATAAAGTACAGTAAACAACGCTTTCAGTCATTTCGATATAACAAGGTCTCTCTCACCAGGAGATTGAAAAACTGAAGTGACCATAGAAACAGTTTTTACAGGATGAATTTCAAAGAAAATTGAAATCAGTTTTCCACAAAACATTATTTCACTTTCTATCCTAGATCACTTACGGTAATTCTTCCAAACTTCTAGCTATATTGTGTTGTTTAGGACTAAGTAGATCATAGCCAACTTCATTATAAATTTCCATGTAAGAAATGTAAATTGTAGGTTTCTCGGAAATCTGAAACGACAAAATTGAGTGGCATCACGATTTGTAGGGTATTTGATTAATGTGAAATTTTGTGATTGGTATTATCGGTATATTTAATTTGAATTTCCTGACCAAAAAAGAAGTGAACAAGTTACCAACTTTCAATAAGAGGTCTAGGAATGTTATCTCACGTTACTATAGGAGTGATTCTAAACTATATAATACGTTGATTCAAAGAGGACACTAAATATCCATTTGTGAAAAATTGAATGTAATATTTTGGAGAACTATCCAAATTTGTGATCAATGTGTTTTCAAACCATTCCTCGAAAATATTAGCTTCCATGTTCTTATGATAGTCAACATTGCAGGCCTCAAGTTTTTTCCACATAATTTCAAAGAATTCGAAACCCATCTTTTACTTCCTCTGCAATGCACAATTTAGTCGCTATCCTTTGTTTGCAGGCATGTTAGGCGTTCACATTCTCGAACCATCAGTCCACCCTTTCGTAACTGTGCCGTGAGTATCAAACCAAGTTTCGTCCAAATAGAAAATTTGCCGTTGTTATTGTCTATATTTAGTTAAATGTTATGCAATTCCACTATTCTTCTGCTTTCCATGACTGCTTGGCGTTTGTTTATTATTTTTAATCTATATCCGAGTTTCTTCATCCAATTTTGTCACAGCAGCTCACGTTATGGCCGGAAGTAAGTACTCCCTTATGATTTCAGTTGTAGGAATCTCATTGCTTTTGTCGTATATTGTTTTTTTCAATTTCTTTATTAGATGAACAACAAAGGTTTTGGTAATCCTGTATCACATCGCGTCTTGCGTTCATAAGGTTTGTTTGACTATTTTACGTACAGTTGAGAAAGGAATTTCGGCCAAATCTGATGTTGCTTGTAATAGTTTGTTTCCCTCGAAATCAAACTTGTGATGTTGATTCTTATACACATTGAAACATACTCTCTTTGTTTCAATACAAGGACGCCACATTTTTAAAAGATAACAAAAATTTTAAGTAATTATAACTGCACCAATAACGAATTTCAACACTCAAATCGCGATCAGTTCCTGAACTGAACATTGACGATATAACGGCGATAACATTCCTCGATTTTCCAGATTTCTATTCGTCACCGTATCACGACTTCAAATTAAATTTTATGACTCTTCAGCCAATCATAAAACTCGGTTAGTAAAAATTATTCAATACGAACCGCCAAGTCTACAGTCCACGTAGACTAGTTCCGCTTGTATTGGTTTTTTGGCCTTTGAGGGTGCCGTCAGCTTTAAATATGCACAATATCGTTTACTTTGACTATACCTATTCCTATTCCAGATAGTATATTGTTGAGTTTTTTCAATTTTTTTTTTCAAAAATTTTATGTGAAATATTTTTTGAAAAAGAGATCAGGAAAATCATAGATGTAATAAATTTCGTGCATTACCATTTCATTCTGTTCAAATATATACTGTATGCTCCTTGGTATGATTCCTCTTTCATTGTATTTCTTCGGTGAACCAGTGATGGAGTAAGTTTTACCGCTTCCAGTCTGAAAATGCAATATTTTCAAAATTTGGCACAAAACGTATCTGTAAAAATTTTTCAACAGAAATCTCAAACCTGTCCGTAAGCGAAAATCGTACCGTTGAATCCTTCTATGATGCTGAAAATGAACCAAATAATCATTAATTTTCAAAATGTTCTGAAATATGTCGCTAAATGGTACAACCAGTTATATGTTACCTATTCAGTATTGGTTTGGCAACGGCATCGAATACTTCTGATTGGCACGATTTTTGATCAAAGACTTTATGAAACCTGAAATAAGTACTCGTAAAAATACTTAGAGTAGATTTCGATTCTTTGAGAAATCAATCACCAGAAAAGTATATTACTCTCGCAGTCATTAACATTCATTATTCATATTGACTTTCTGGGAAATATATTCAATGTTTTTGCACTAAATTTGTATATCGTAATAACTTGTTGCATAGCTTACAACATGTTGCATAGCTTGAATCTTTATGTGCCACTCAAAAGAGGATAATGAAAACGTATGTATTTGTATTACATTATTCTGGAGAAACGGCTAACCGGTTGAAGCGAAGAAAACTTGGTATTCGAGCGGTTCATAAACCCGAGGAATAGTAGGAACCCACATATATGGTGGTAGAGCGAAGACAAAAATCTCACTCAGCTTCGGATAGAACACAACAGTAATTCAGGCAGAAGTTACCGCTATCGAAGTGTGAGAGAATTGCTCAAGCAGAAAGTTGAAATAAAACCATTGCCAATCTTTAAGAAAGTCAGACGGCATTCGAGCCGATCATCTCACATTTCTAGGGAGTGTGCGACACGTAGGGAGCTATATTAGCGCACTCAATGAGGTAGGTTCCTATAATAGAATTACCCTAGCCTGAATACCCGAAGAACACAAGGACAATGAGGAGGCCGATGCGTTTGCCCGTGAAGTTACATTCAAGACCATGATAGGTTCAGAACCCTTCTGCGGGTTAGCGAAGACATGTGTAAAGACATCTATCAATCAAGTCAAATCTCTAAATTTGTGAAGCTTACAGGAATGAAGCAGGTGGAAAAGTTCATGAAGGAACCCTCGCCCAAAATCATAGAAGACCTGCTGAAACACAACAGCAAGTTTATGAGGGTAGTGATTCGTTTACTTAAATAACGAGGAATTGTCGGCTCATAAAACATATGGCGGAGAAACTCCATGCAGGTTCTGCCAAAAGGAGGAAGAAACATCATACACAGGATATGTGAATACGAAGCGTAAGCAAGGCTAAGACATGGGAGGTGCAAAAATGAAAAACAAGAGGCTATAAGCTATATGCAGGAACCGATAATAAGGTTTCTTATGAAAGAGATCAGGCTAGATGATGAGCTCTGATAACTAAGGAGCATCACAATATATCAGTAAAGGTCGCAGTGAAACAAGAAATTTAATCTAGCACATTCAAATATGGAGTTAACAAAATTTGTTTTAGATTACATTGTGAAATCAAATTCAAAAAGTTCCATCAATTTTCAGTTCCTTCTCTTGATATGATGTTAATTTTGGATCAGATTGCGTGTACCAAACCTATCAATATTATTCTTAGATGAAATGAATTGGAAAATTATAATAATAATATCGAGAGTTATTCTAGAAACATACAAAGATTTACCTGAAACAACGCTGAACAGGATTATTTGTGCCATTCCTTGAAAAAATAATACCGTCCAATTGTCCTTCCTTTTTGATTATTTGATAAGCCTGAAATTGCAAAATTTTCCCAGATTAGCACTTAAATATTTCAGTAGAACTATGTAACAACTACTTCTAGATCAACATTTTTTGGTTCTCTTTTCAATCTTGCATAAACTTTCGTTGTATGACTAATCATCTTCACCTATAACTGTCAGTTTCTGACAACACTTTGATGTAATTTTAGTCATAATTATGATGTGACATGATAAATATTGCCCAGGGAAGATTTGTTTCATATACAGCATGCACTGATGACATATTATGAAGTGCAATGTCGGGAAAATATTGACTTCTGCAATAGTTATTGAAAACCTTCCGAATTTTTTTATTGTAATTTCGCCAATTGACTTGATTGCGATGACTCCCACGACAGGTTATAGTTATTTCGTTGTCTACTCTGACAGTCATTGCATAAAATAATTCAGCAAAAACGTATTTGATTTTCTGGAACTTCAACTAGCGTTTCCGTTTCCTAATATGACTGACTTGGAAACCAACCAAAACATTGACGTCAGCCGTAAAAGCCGACATTCCTATAATAGTTTCTTGATTCTAATTCCGATGTAGATAATATACGAGTAGAACCAGGAGATACTGATTTTACAACGGTGAAATAATTATCAGACACATATTGTATCATCTGGTGAACAAAATATGTAAAATTATATCCTGTGTGTATGTGTATAAAGAGTCTGCGGAGTTCGAAGAGAAAATCTCGATATTTTATCCGTTTTTGCTCCTCTTTTCTGACGATATTTATCTCGCCTGGAGCTGAAAATTCCACGACAAATATCGTTTTGCTCTGTTGGTCGAGAAGGACTACATCAGGCTTATTAGCTTGTATGAGCCTGAGGGTATGGAACGAATAGTTCCAATAAATTTGGCACCTCTCGTTCCCCACAACGGATTCAATATCCCCCGGTGTCTCGTCAATACCGTAAGAGTGCCGTATATAGTAATATAGCACTCTTAGGGCCACGTTATGTCGCGACATCACGCGACTGCGGTAGACTAAGGTGAAGACACCATCCTGGCAAGCCATGATGAACCCCTCAGTTTCCGACTTCAGCCCACTGGACCTGAGAAAAGCGAAGGTCAGGCGCTTTGATAAGCCAAGGTATCCAATGTTATTGAAGAAGACCCCATGCTTTGGCTTATCCTTGTGTTTCCGCAGAAGTAAGGTGATCTCTGCGGCTTTAATCTGTGTTTTTTGCTGAACAGGTTCCAACTCGGTGACAGAGTTGTGGTCACCTCGTTCAGTGTGGAAAACTATACTGAGTTCATCAGCTGCTCGGGCAGCTGCCCTAAAGAGAAATGCTCCAATTCCTGCTCTCTCATGGTCACGGACCATGCAGAGAAGGGGATCCGAACTCCTGACGACTTTACAGGCTGTATCCAGCACCATTCTGTCATGTAGAGACTCCAAACTCAAAAGTCCACGGCCTCCCTGTTGTCGGGGGAAGTACAACCGTGGAACGGACGATTTGGGACAATAATAATAATAATAATAATTATTATTATTATTAATATTATTAATATTATGCAGAGAGAAACTAGATGAATAACATGTGTTGTGTTGAGTAAACATGCGGCAAAAAATCAAGGGACTCTTCCTTGGATTATTCTAAGGATATTTTGTTCTTTGATTTTTGATAGGGCGCTTTGTTTCGAAGATACAGAGCAAAAAAGAATTTTGACAATAACAATTTTGGTAATTTCATAATTATTGACGTAGTCGATACAAAAGTGTACCGTTCTACACTGGATCCACCAAGTAATAAAAATCTATCAATTCCATTGGTGCCTATTAACAACATTCCGATTACTTCAAACGGCTGCAGACATTCAATTTGAACAGTATGTCTCGTAAGTGATCCTGGTGTTTTTGAAAGAGTTCGGGAGTCGATGAGGAGAATATTGGATTCTTGCATCCGAGCGGGGGTAGTCATTTTCAACAGGTCATACCATAGTATAAAGATTATCTTCATACTATGGTGATACTTCATGGATAGCCCTTTTATTACACTCGTATAGTTTCAACGTTTGATTATGGAAGGTAACAGACCCAGAAAACGCCGATAAGAAATAGTATATTTGGGAAAAACGTTTTGGCTTTCTACTTCCCCCCCACCCAAAATTATTCTCCCCTAAAAATATACGTACCCAATTCAATTTGAACAGAATAATATATCTTTTCATTATGAGAAAAAATGTTTTTGTCCAAATACTATTTGTTCTCAAAATACACTGAAGACTGTTCTCCGTATAGATAAATCAAAATTTCTAATCGTTCTCTCAATTCCGGCGGTAGTAGACTCTGTCACTTCCAGTGCCGCCAGCACTAAAAGTAAGACCGAAACCAAGGTGATGATGATTTGTATTCGATAATAAAGATGAACGTCAACTTATTACTAGATAAGAACGTCATTCACAAAACATCTTAATTTTGTTTTTGTTTAAGTTTGAAGAAAAAAGTCTTGATAGAAAGGCCAGACACATTACTGCATCGACGTTTTAATTCCGGTTGCATTTCCACATCTCTACGATACAATCATCTCGTGTTAACCCAAAATCGATTATGGCGTGCGCGGATGATGCGGAAAACTCCAGACTTGCGCCAAGTAACGAAGTTCTTCTTTTCCACCAAGGAAAATTTGGTGGACGTGGAAATGTTGCTGAACGAGAAAACGCGGAATACTTAGTGAATTGAAAAAGAAGAGTAGAAGAGAATTTTTGGTTATTTTCTCAAACTCACCAGTAACTCACCTTGTTTCAGTTCCCCGGTCCAGATATATGCACAGATATATGTTTTATGGAGATGCCTGTGTATCTTCATAAACCATCCTGAAATATCTATTCAAGTAGAAATGTTCTGGAAAAACTGTATTTGTCTATTTACTCTTTCCACTCCAAAATTTCTTACCCTAGTTTTTAGCTCAAGAAAGGAAAAAGTGATAGGTTGAAATAACCCCATTAAGTAATTTTTCCACTACTAGGGAGACGTCTGACTTCCATTCATCCTCAGTCTCCGGAAAACACTGCAGCCTCATGGGCTTGTTTCGCTTTTCTCCCATCTTTTTAATGACACTTATTTCAACAATCTTGTGCGCTGTATGACTTTGTACAGGTCCCTTGCTGGATGTATGTCATATACTTCTGGAGATAATTTGCTTTGCATGATCCAGTGCATCATATTCCCATAAAATATGACGAGCTGTCTCTGTCCCGTCGCTGCGTTGTACAACCCTACCATGTTCGGATATCCTTTCAATGGGCGTTGTCCAGTTGATAGTTCTGTAATTATTCTGAGTGGAATTCTGCTTTATTGAAGCAGTTCTTCAGTTCTCTTCTGGAACGGTCCCTTCAAAACGGTTTTCCAGTGTGTGTCCCGGGTATATTTTTCAAGTACCCTCTATGTTTTTCATAGAACCATCTTTCAATCTGATTCCGGACCAGAGACTTTGATGCCCCCACAGCTGGTTCAGGGTCTATATACTCGTTCTCAAACAGTGAAGTTCAAGGTATACTGAGTTGATCCCCAAAACGACAAGCAGCCACAATCCGTCACGTATTTCTGATATGTACCGCTCTTGGTACTTGTTGATCCGTATCTGCCATACTCATACTAGTTGTTACTCAGCTTGTTTATTGCCTGCAATACCTGAATGTTATGACACCCAGTATATAGTCAACCTGTCCATCAGTTTTCATTGTTCTTCACGACACTCCAAACCCAGTTTCGATATTAGTTTTGGGTCCAAATATTTCTCCCCGCAAAGTCTTTGGCGGTTTGAGACTTCAACCGCGAAGTGTATGTCGAACAAGTATTTCAGTGTCATATGGTCCAATAACATGTTTGTTCTTCGTTTCTCCATATGTACTGAAAATTCTGTTTTGTCAGATTACATTAATACTATATAAAAAGTCTCTTCACTCTGCTTAGTTTGTTGATAAAGGTCGCTTGATTCATCTTCAGCCACCAGACCTTAGATGCTATCATGGGTACAACTACCACCATGTAGTAGAGCTCCCATGTCTTTCAGTAGGTGCCTCTGGTCAGCAAAAATGCTACCTCTGCCTTTCTTTTTACCTATTTCTAGATATTGGTTCAAGGTTAGGCTGGGATCTCGTATCAAATCCCAGATATTTGATCTCCACTGATATATTTATCTCTCTACCTCCAAGTTTCCGAGATCCTTGGCCCTTTGTTTAGTCTCATTTGGTGAATGCTACTATGATCGATTTTGTTAGACTTATGTTCAGCTGTTCTTTATCGCTCCATTCAGTTATAATATTTAGGGCTTTCTGCATGCGCCTCTTTACTATATTATTGAATTCGCCCTAGACTGGGATGACTGAGTCGTCTGCATAGCTCAGTCCATTGTGAGGTTCTATAACAGTGGGGACAAACATTCCCCCAAGGACAACGCCTTGCTACCTGTGCCACACGATGATTGTGACCATGCAGTCTATTCATCTGCAGTGTGTGACATCAATCCCTATTTTCCTCGAGATATGATTCTGGAGATGTATTATCAAATGCACCTTATACATCCAAGAAAGCAGCTGAAAGCACCCTTGTTTTTGTGAGCATTTTGAGCTTTTTCCGTGACCCGGCATAAAGTCGTTTCCGTCCACATTATCTGTAGGCATATTGGTCTCGAAGCAGTGGTCATACTTATGTCCTTAAGATGCCTGTCAAGTAGATTTTCTAATATCTTTAATGAAACAAATATGAGACTTATTGAACTCAAGGCTCTCTCCGAATCCTGTTCGATTTTACTAGGTTTTGGAATGAAGGAGGCCCTAATCAGTCTCCATGTTTTTGGTATATTCGTATATCCAAGAGCCAAACTTGCTCTGAAGATTACATACTTTGACATACTTAGTGAAATATATAATATTTCAAAAATAGATGAATTCTCAGGCACATATTGATTCGCAGAGTGTATTGAATTTCATCGTTGTCATACTGATTTTGTAGAAGCCTCAGTGAAACCATGAAACCACTACGTATTTGTCCAGGTGATGAGTTCTGGGTAAAAAAGTCATACCTAATATTTGTTCAACGTACCCGTGTTGAATCGCTGTTATGTTATCGCCAAGGCAATTACCTGTTCCAATAATCGTTTTTTAAATGAATGTTTGTTATCAACCATTGCTGTTGTAGAAATTCCCACAATAATAATCTTGTGACTAGTATTTATTCGGTTTTCGAGAGTTAATGAAAGGTGGAAGTTTGCTGTTACCTAATATTTATTTTATGATTCAGTGATGGTCGTTTTTCCAATTGTCTTGGTATATTGACAGCTATGAATTGCTGGTTCTGCCTC